GCTCTCGTGGCTGGAGTTGCTTGGACCTGCTACTTGCTCTCTGTGTTACCCTGACCCTGAGGCTTCCTATATTTCGAGGCCAATGTCCTCCACGCCCATTGCTATCCCTACCACCACCTCTGCCAACAGCAGGGCAAACACCTTCAGTGTTGGCTCAGTCACTCCCCGTCACCCATCACTTTGGAGTGGCGACTTCAAACCAGACACCTGCAGCTCTCTGCTCTATTAACTGTTTCTGTACTCAGATCCTTAGACTAATTATTAATTAATTAGATCGGGTTGTTAGTCGATTGACGAATCGCTTTTCTAGCAGTGGTACTCCCTTTCAAAAGAAATAATAATAATTTGGTCACTCAATCCACGACTGTTTGTGGGGACGCTACTGTGCGCAATTGGCTGCCACGTTTCTCCCACAAAATATACAGTCAATTCACTTTTCAGACATCTCGAAGATGTGATACGGTGCTATATCAAATGCAAGGATTATTATTATCCTGCCAGTGTCTGGAAAGGTGTCCTGGAAATTCAGTGAGTATCTGAGGTGCGATCTGAAGACTGGCAAGGAGGAGGCAAGGCGGAGGGATTGAGGTTTCCCCCAACCAAAACACCAGAGTCACTACAATTTACAGTAGATCCCGTGAAGCGCTTTGCGACGTCCTCCCGACGTGAAAGTCGCTGCATCAAAAGTAAACGTTCTAACCCTCTTCCCCCACCGCCCACGGAGCTGGGTCTGAGGAGATGTTGGTAATCCTCTTCTGGGAGTGGGTGGTGGCTGAACTCTGCACATCCCCTTTCTCCCTTACCCGCTGGGGTCTGCTCAGGGAGCTGGGGTGGGGGAGAAGCAGTTGTCCAAACAAGACGGATTATTGATATATGGAAAACACCATCGATAGAGCCAGAGAGAAGATTACGGCAGATTATGTCAGCTGACCCGCAGAGCACCTTTGCACTACAAGAGATGAGAGCATGTTCTGATCCTTTGTCTGAGTTAGTCCTTGTGGGGACGTTGCTTTAGTCGATAAGAGGCCCGGGTGTTGTGGCTGTGGCTGCTGCTCAGCTTCCCTGAGGACAGACACTGCTTTGCTGCCCTGAGCTTTCAGAATCAGTGACGGACTGGAGGATGCTAATTGAATTTGTTGTGGGTAAATGTGTTGGGAGCAAAGCTTCATCGCTGCAAGCTTAGGCGATGTTTGTATTAAAGGTAATGGTCTTTTCTTTTCTCTCTCTCTCTCTCTCTCTCTCTTTCTCTCTTTCTCTTTCCCCCTCCCTGTCTCTGACACACTCAGACTTCTCTTCCTTCCCATCCTCTTTGTTATTGGAAGCAGATGTTGGCATTTTTCCACCGGCGTCTTGCTGTTCAGCCAAGTCTCTCTCTCTGATCATCTGAGGGGAGCCCAAGTTTTTTTTCTCTCTCTCTCTCTCCATAGACAGTGAGTACGTTGCTGCCAGCAGGGCTCGTTTAAGATTGAGACTCATGTTTTTTTTTCCCCTTCCCCTCCCCTTCCCTTCCCAGGAATAAAGATCCAGGGGTTTTGGTCGATTGTGATGATCAAATGGAGCTGGAATGTCGCGCCAGGAGTATCTGGGATGGGTGACCTGTGCCAGGAAAACACTTGCCAAGTGGCTGAGATTTTCCTGACACATCTTTTAGCAGTTACGTCCGCTGATTTAGGGTTCCAGTGGAGATTCCCTGTTTGTGGGGACGTTTTTTGCTGTGGACAAATTTGCTGCTGCGTTCGCTTTCAAAATACAGTCTTACACAGTCTAACGAGCACTTTGGGATGTCTTGGCAGTGTAATGAGGCACTATATCAAACGCTAAACTTATTAAATTAATATTATCTCATTCTCCACTACCTCTAGTTTTATTATCCAGTGCGTCGGTGTGAGATGCTAATCCGCATGAAGGATGCTATGTGGATTACAGTTGTAATATTATTATAATAATGGTAATTGCAGCCGTTCATGTCGGGAGGACGCCCTAAAGCGCTTCACGAGAATATACTGTGAAGTGGAGTGACTGTATCTGAATCTTTGTAGGCAAATGCGGCAACCCAATTGCACACAGCAATGTCCCACAAACAGTCACAAAGTGAGTGACCAAAGTTATTTGGGGGATTGTTGGCCAGGACACCGGGATAGAGTACTTTCTCTTTGACCGTGCCTTCAGCTCCCCTCTCGACTCTCTTCCCCCTCCTCGCTCCCTCCCTTCCCTCCCCTCACCCTGACCATTTCCCCGCTCCTCGCTCCCTCCCTTCCCTCCCCTCACCCTGACCATTTCCCCCTCCTCGCTCCCTCCCTTCCCTCCCCTCACCCTGACCATTTCCCCCCTCCTCGCTCCCTCCCTTCCCTCCCCTCACCCTGACCATTTCCCCCCTGCTCGGGTCATGACCCAACTGTGCAGCGCCTTGGGACGTCCTCCTGACGTGAAAGGCGCTTTATAAATGGAATCTTGTTGTTGTTGTTTCTTTCTGTAAAGTAACAGTAAGGTTTGGTAGCTACCCCGCATGAAGGGCGCTATAAATATGCATGTCGTTGTTGTTGTAGTTAGTAGTAGAGCTGTGTAACAGGCCCACGGCCAGACCAGCAGAGCTCGATTGCCTTCCGTACTGTTGCTCCCAACCATGTACCGTGGTTGCTGACGAGAACGCAATGTGACGGGCTCTCGAGAGAATTGAGCAAAGGGCCCTGCAGACTGCGTTATGCTGGAGAAACTGATACAATTGGACTGCTGACCAGCCTTAAGTCTGTTTGACAGAATGAGGGTAACATGAACTAAGTGAGAAAGTTTGCTATGGATATTATGAATGTTCTGCCAAAGCCATTCATTGATGGCCCTTATTTCCATTTCCCCTCTGCCCCCACCCACTGCCCACGTTCTTGGTTCTGATCTCCTCTCTATCTAACTTGCTGCCTTCCTGTGAAGTCCTGAAAATCAGGGCTGTTTCTTAAGAATTTGCCAAATGGTGGACGAAACTAAACCTAAACCCGGGTGGAATTTCTGCCCCATTGTGTTCAAGGCGAAGGACATGAGGGCTTTTATTTCCCCTGTTGCACGTCGGCCAAATTGGTAGGAAAATAAATAAAGATGGGTGAAAGACAGGTAAAATATTGCAGAAATTCAAGCGGGTGAATTATAACTTAATTACTGTCAGCGGTCCGTGATTTCTTGAGATTCATTTGTAGGCTTCCTGGATCATTAAACTGCGGTTCAAACAGCCCTGCCAGTCACAGCGAGTTCCAGGAATTTTCTTTCACGGAAGAACATATAATTCACACTGTGCCTGCGTGCTACTAAATTTACGATCATCTTAATCCTTGCAGTAGCTTACCCTCAGCGGCCTGGCCAATGCTGCCCATACACTTCACAGGGATTTGCTGTACAGTGTAGTGACTGTGTATTTTTGCGCGCAACCATCTCTCACAAACAATCGTAAACTGAATAATCATTTTGGGGGGCGGGGGTATGGGGTGTGGATTTGTTGGCCAGAATGTGTGGAACTCCTTACTCTTTTTGAATACTGCCGTGAGATCTTTAACTTCCCACCTAATACTGTCTAGATTAGAGAGGCAGGTGGTGGCCCTCCAGGGAGAGAGCACGCGTTCTATTCCAACAATCCTCTCTCTGGAATTTCCATGTGCAACAACAACAAATTGCATGTGTTTTAGCGCCTTTCATATCAAGAGGACGTCCAAAGGCCCTGGTGGGATACAAGGAATTCTCTGATGGGTTTGGATATTTTTAAGCATGCGTCATGGCTTTCCGCGTGTGTCAGATACCTGGCTGCCCAGAAAAAAAGAGTAGGTCATTCAGACCCTCGAGCCTGTTCCGCCATTCTATTAGATGATGATTCATGGCTGATCTGTACCTGAACCCCAATTATCCGCCTTTGCCCCATATCCCTTGATACCCTTACCTAAGACCATTCAGGTCTTGCTCACTGTAAACAGAAGTTGGGCTTAGAAAATCTCTTACTTAGTTCGTTTACACTGTCTCATCGGCTCACTTCCACATGGCTGCCTCGGTTTACAGTAGCACATGAGGCTGTAAGCAGACCCAGGCAGCTTGCTTGCTGGGACTCGATCGCTGCAGGATGTCTGGAGCGAATGCTCTGCTGGGGGCTCGTGTTTGCTGCTTGGCTTGGGTCACTGTTGAGCATCTGCATCCTGTGGGTTACAGTGGATTTCCGGGTGAGGTGGAGGGAGGGAGAGAGGGGGCTAGGGAGAGCGGGGGGGAGAGGGGGCTGGAGGCAGCAACCCATCTGCTGATCCGCTTCAAGGGAAACATTGGCACAAATGTCTTCACTCGAGTGTCGCGCGATTAAAGGCACGTGAAGGGTTTCAGCAGACGCGGCCTGGAGGGAATGTACCCGATGCATCTGACGGCAAACATCATCCACAAAGTTTGCCCATAAAGTCGCCACAGTGAAGTGTTTTGAGATATTCTTCTGGTGTGAAAGGTGCCTTGATTGACTGATTGATTGACCAACTGACCCTAACCCATTGACCAACTGACCCCAACCCATCGATCGATCGATGAGTTAGGATCGATCGTTTCCTCTCCTCCTTGGCCGAGATCTCAAGATTGATTTCCAGGTCCTCACCTATAATTCCCTTTATTCCCCATCACCTCCATATCTCTATGATATTCCTACTTTTCTTCCCCTCTCCCTTGTTTGCCCCCCTTGTTCGGCTAACCTTCCGTGTGTCCTCTTCTGAGCCACCCTCGGTGACCGAGCCTTTAGATTCTACGCCTATAATCCCTTCCTCTACCCCTTCATTTTGTCCCACTCTATAGTTTCTCTCTGTCTATCCCAATGAATCCCTTTATCATTTTATGACAATGGGATTCAAAAGGGGTTTGACCGGAGTGAAAGTATCGCGGTCTCATTTAGAAGCATAGCCTTGAGCCCTTCTGCTCAGGCATTGAGTAGATGCTGTAAATCTGCAATCAGACAACGTCATTTGGTGTGTGTGACACTGACATGAGCTCTGCTGCAGGTGAACGATCGAGTCTCGAGGAATGCTTCGCCTGGTCCAGGTTCCCACACGGATTGGAAAATAATAAAGACCGTCGATCGGCCGCGATTCTTGCGCCACGAATCATTTTACCCGTGAACACGAGACCCCGTGCTGTTTTTTTTAATGTTTAAAGAAAAAAAAAGGACCTGTTGAATGTTAACGCCAATTAACTCGCTGACGAACGTTTTCTCGAAGAAGCCCAGGGACATGGCTTGTGACCTGCTTCACCACTGAGCCCCCGAGCCTCCTGGACGCTCCCACCATTTCCTTCTCCAAGCGGAGCAGGTTCCAAAAGACGTTCTCGAAAATGACGAGCCTCTTCCGGCGAAACAGTAGCAACGGGGGCTCCAAAGGCAGCTCTCCCAACGTGCCCTCCTCCCAGGTGATGAACAACAGCCGGCCGGCCCGCCAGGTGCGGAGACTGGAATTCAACCAGGCCATGGAGGACTTTAAGGTCATGTTCCCCAACATGGATTATGACGTGATCGAGTGCGTGCTGAGGGCCAACAATGGGGCCGTGGACGCCACCATCGATCAGTTGTTGCAAATGAACTTGGACTGCGGCTTCGACAATGGCTACGATGACAGCTCGGACTCAGAGGACAGTATCCCACCAGAGGTGAGAAACTCCCAACAGAAACATCAACAGCAACAACACATTATACTTGTAATAATAATCCCTGCATTTGATACACGCCTCGTCACGTCTTCGAGACGTCTCAAAGCGCTTCACAGAATATACTGTAAAGTGACTTGACCGTATATTCTGTGGGCGAAATACAGCAGACAATTGCACACAGCAGCGTCCCACAAACAGTTGACCAGTTTATTATTATTTTTTGTCAACAACAAATTACATTTGTGTAGTGTCTTTCATGTCGGGAGGGAATTGAGGGGGAGAGGAGAATAGGAAGGGTATAGGTTTAGTCGTGTCTGAGTATAAACACCGACTAGGCACGGACTAGTTGGGTTGAATGGCCTGTTTCTGTGCATCAATGTAACAAGAAACCATCAGGGCTAGAAAGTGTAGTTATTATGGTGTTATTCCCCCAGCGCCCCCCGCATTACATCCATTGAGGTTTTGATCGTGTCTTCTCCAACCTCCACGCACATGCACCTATCAGCCGAGGCAGGATGGAAGATAAAGATCCAGGTGTATTTCACCCGTCCTTTCTGTTAAGCACAAACTAGGTTTTTATTGAGTTCCCCAGGAAGGGGACACACACACACACACACACATATACCCACTCAGAGAGAGGAGAGAGGCTTAATCTGTTACAGCTGGAAGAAAATCTCCAAAATAGCATTCCATAAATCCATAGGGATCACCTCTGGCAGACTTTTTATTTTGATACAAAAATTCTTTTTAAAATTCAGCCTTGAACTTAATGCAAGCTTTTGTTTTAAAAGTTCTGGCCAGAAGGTTTATTTGATTCTCATGCAAGTGGCCAAACTCAAACTGCAAGCCACTTCGCTTCGAAGCTGTGTGTGGGGACGTTGCTGTGTGCAGTTTGGCAGCCACGTTTACACACGAAATACACAGTCACTTCACTGATGGCACTTTACAGTAAAATCCTGTGAAGAGCTTTGAGACATGCTTCCTGTTTGAAAGGTGCATTATTGTTTATTTATAATAATAACACTTGCATTTGATATAGCACCTTTTCACGTCGTTGAGACATCTCAAAGCTCTTCACAGAATGTAATGCAAAGTAAATTGACTGTGTGTTTTATGGGTGAACCGTGGCAGTCAATTGCGTACAGCGGTCGTGGATTGAGTGACCAATTTTTTTGGTGGGGGGGAGGGTGGGAGGTATTATTAACCCCAGAAAGTGATCTGCCACTTATTGCTAGGTAAACAGAAGCGTGAAGAGTAAGGAAATTTGGCCAACCTTTCGCCTTGCACGGGAATCGAGCCCGGGTCCTCTCTCTTACGAGGCGAGAGCGACAACCATAAATTTGTATTGGTCTCCAATACAATACAAATTTGCATCTAAATTGGTATTGCACTCACATTTTTAGAACCGAAATGTCTTCCTTTAACTTGTTTCTTCCATCCCCCCACCCCCCAACAGATTTTGGAGAGGACGCTGGAGCCTGACAGTTCCGACGAGGAGCCCCCCCCTGTGTACTCTCCGCCTTCGTACGACATGCACATATACGACCGTCAGTACCCGCAGGTCGCTCCCTTGCCACCTTGCCGGTGAGTATTGACCAGCGCTCCTGTGATGGGGGAGGTTAGCTAGCCCTGCGGGAGAATAGACTGTAACGCCCACAGTAAAGCCTGCTGGACTGAATGAGGACAATCTCACCACAGAGACTACAAGGGCCACCTATTGGATTATTAAGGATATTGCACTGTTTAGAGATCAATAGTGCAGTCAACACCCACTCCCTTTCCCCCTCATTCACAGACAGGCCTTTAAAAGCCAAGCAAGGCATTGCCCACTCTCTTGTACACTCAACCTGTCTGGTGTCTTGTTCCCCCACCTCCCCACATCACTCGGCCTGTCTTCAAATCGTACCTGATGTCTTCCCTCTTCGACCACGCCTTTGGCCACTTCCCCTCCCTTTCCAGTTCGGTGTCAAAAATCCACACCGCTGTTAAGCTCTCGGAGACCCTACTTGTGTGAAGGGTGCTGTATAAACACAAGTTGTTATTGTCCTGTACAATGGAATGGGACTTGGCTCAACACTTAGCAATTCTTCCCTCTGGCGATGACCTAGAAGTACTGACTGATGACTGTTGTAATAGTGGGTGCCATTATAATGCGGGATCTGTGTTTTTTTTAAAATCAATATATAGCCATGTACCCAGACCACTGTATTATAACGGAGCTTGACTGTAGATCATCAGACTGCATTCAGCATGTCCACTACTGACTAACTGAGGTCTGCACTGCTGCTTTCAATGAGTTTTGCTACTGCTTGTTCTGAAATTCCGGTCTGTGTCCCACATAGTGTTATGTATGTGGAGGCGGGACGGGGGGATAGAGGAGGGGGGAGGGATGTAGGCCACGAATTGGGGGGGGTTCCATTCTGCCCATTATAATTGTGCAACACCCAAGATGTAGCCGAATTCCAGGCCAAATGTATCTTAGGAGTGTTAACGCACTTCATGTCTCCCTCTCGTGCCGGCAGGCTCGACGTACAGACGCCTGGAGTGAGTCAGCCGCAGCGGCGGTATCGGAACTGGAACCCCCCATTGCTGGGCAACCTGCCCGACGACTTCCTGCGCATTTTACCGCAACAGCTTGACACGGTCCAGGTGAGCGGGGAGTTAGCCGTTGGGTGTTGGTATTGGGTATTGGGTGTTGGGGACGGAGGTAGCTGCCTGCTTTGGTTCAATGAGAGATTGAGATCTGGTCTTGTCTTCAGGTGATGGATTAAAACGAAGCGGCTTCTCCGAAGTAAGACCGAACGAGAATTATTATTTTTTTTTGCACAATTCTGAAGTGACCTTAAATTTCAAGACAAACAAAAAAAATGGACTCGTGGGCGGCCGGAGTGGGGCGGAGTGGTGGGGGTTCCCCCTTCTTTCCATCTTTGAAACAATCAATAAACAAAACCGAACGCTGAGAAATCTGCCCGAACGACCCAAAATAAAATCGTCGAGTGGGGTGGAGGGGTACAAAATGGCAGCAGAGTGAGCTAGAGAAAAGCGAATTCCTTCTTTACATGGAGAGACGTTCTCCAACTACTGTTGGTTCTCAAACGCTCTTGACCAACTGAAGGATTGCTTTTTAGTTGGAAAAAAGAAATGCTTCCCCTGCTGATCAAGTACTTAAGCTCTCTGAGATGAAGGGCGTGGCGCAAATGCAAGTTGTTGTTGTTGTTTTCGTCTCATCCGGCAGAACTCACAGAAAAATGGCCGCCAGTCTCTGCCCGGGGACAGCCAGGCCTCGCGAGGCTCCTCCCTGGAGCAGGAGCGGAAGCTGAAGCAGTACCTGGAGGACGAACGCATTGCCCTGTTCCTCCAGAACGAGGAGTTCATGAAGGAGCTCCAGAGGAACCGAGAGTTTCTGCTGGCGTTGGAAAAGGGTGAGGGCAACCGGGGAGCCACTTAGCGCTGTTCTGGCTCATGAGGTGGCGGTGGTGCTATTTCCTCACATTTCATATCGCGCCTTATCACGCCTTCGAGACGTCACAAAGTGCTTCACAGAATGTAATGTAAAGTGGAGTGACTGTATATTTTTGTTAGGAATCTACAAACCATTGTTACGTGTAATGAGGTGGGGTGGGTGGGGTTGGTGTGGCTCGTAAATTGGGAAGGAATCTGAATTCAGGGTTAAGCAGCGCAGTGAACGGCCAGCCACCAGCCTCCGATACCCTTGTGCAATGTGACCTTGTCTGTCTCCTTTCAGATCGGCTGAAATACGAGTCTAAAAAATCAAAGTCGAGTAACAGTGGGAGCGAGACATTGCCCTGTGCTGACAGCAGTGTTCCCCCAGTGACCCCAGGTAACGGCAGACCAGGCTTCTCCGCCCCCCCCCCCCCACCCCACCATTTACTGGGTACATTGTGTGCCGTTGTTACCAGGAGTAGTTTAGCTCCTGTTCTGGCTAATGAGGGCCATTGTGCTGCTCAGAATTTATCACTTGTTTTTCCTCTTTTCTTCCTTCGATAGAATTTACAGTGTTGCAAAGCAATTGCATGGTAACGAGTGCTCGTCCTGCCCGGGAATCAAACCCAGGTCCTCTCGCTTGCGAGGCGAGTGCTCTAACCACTCCGCCGCAGGACTCCACTGATGTACTGGAAGGTGAATGTATTGGGGGGGGGGAAAGGAGGGGTAAAGGGGATGGGGGAGCCGGGCGGTGCAGGAAAGGGAGCGAGTGGTCCAGAAACCCTAACGGTGATCATCCTGTTTATTGCAGTGGATTCCGGTGCCTCTGGAGCGGCTGAAGCGAGCAGTGCGGTGTGTGATGACGCCTTGTTTAGGGACAAACTGAAGCACATGGGGAAATGTGAGTCCCCTCGTTCCTCTGCCGTATTCTGGTCTTATTGCTTCCATAATCATAAAACTAACGATTGCCCCTCGATCCGGTGCCTCTAATGTCAAAACGTATTGTGTGCAGTTTTGGTCTCCTTATTTAAAAAAGGACATACTTGCCCTCGAGGGGGTGCAGCGTAGATTCACTCGGTTAGTTCATGGGATGAGGGGACTGACCTATGAGGATAGGCTGAATAAACTGGGGCTGAATTCTCTAGAATACAGAAGAATTAGGGGAGATCTTATTGAAACTTATAAGATTCTTAAAGGGCTGATAAAGTAGACACTGAGGGTCTGTTTCCCCGGTAGGAAAATCTATAACCAGGGGTCACAGTCTTAAAATTAAGGGTCAGCCTTTTAGAACAGAGTTGAGGAAACATTTCTTCACTCAGAGGGTAGTGAATTTATGGAATTCACTACCCCAGAAGGCTGTAGATGTCAGTCCTTGAACATTTTCAAGGCTGAGACTGATAGATTTTTTAAAAATAGAGGGATTAGGGGATATGGGGATAGAGCAGGTAATTAGAGTTAGGGCTGAAGATCAGCCATGATCTTATTGAATGGCGGGGTAGGCTCGAGGGGCCGATGGCCTACTCCTGCTCCTAATTCTTGTATTCTTATGTATTCCTCCCGATGTGAAAGGCACTGTATAATTGCAATCTGTTGTTGTGGTGGTGGTTGTTGTTATTGTGTGTTTGTTGGCAAACACGACAGCCAATTTCCACACAGCAGTGCCCCACAAACAGCATGAAGTGAATAACCTATTTACGTGGAGGGTTTGTTGGCCAAGATACCAGGAGAAACTCCCTTTTTTTCAAAGCAGTGCAGTGGGATCCTTATCTACTTCTTGTTTTCCAACCTCCACGCCAGGGGTTTGAACTCACACGTCTAGGTTGACACTCCAGCTTTCAGCTATTGCTCCCCTAACCTCTGTAGCTCCCTCCCTCTACCTGCGCCCATGTCTCGCCCGTTCCCTGTCTGTCTTGAAATCCCACCTTAAGACCTACCCCTTCGACCGTACCAATGGCTGCTTCCCTCTCCCCGCTCCCTTGCTCAGGGTCCGTCCCTGACATTTGAAAGCGCTCTGAGAAGTTAACCCACGTGAAAGGCGCTGCGCTGCGTAAGTGCATTCTGTTGCGGCTGAGAGGACTAACGGGCGGCTTTCTGTTCCAGCGACACGCAAGAAACTTTTTGAATTGGCCAGAGCCTTCTCTGAGAAAACAAAGATGAGAAAGTTGAAGCGAAAGCACTCCTTAAAACATCACACGTATCCTTTACACAACAGGGACATGCAAGTATTGCAGCTCTGCGCAGAGCAAACTCGGGGAAGTGTGATGAGGACTTACTCTAAGCTTGAGCTTGCCGATTTTTTTTAGGGGGGAAGAAAAAGGAATAATTGATGTTTTTCCTAATTTTTATCCTAATTGAGGGAAATGAATTGCCGTCGTTTCTTAAAACGTGTTACTCTTTGTTTTGTGCTTCAAGAGGTTTTCCTTGACCTGTGTTGCTTTTACAGTCTCGGGACAGCAGCTTCTACGGCAAACCTTCTGGACGATGTAGAAGGGAATTCTTGCGGTAAGGCAAGAATTAAAGAAATTAAAGAAGCAAAGGCGCCGGTTAGATTCACAAAGAAAACGGGCTTAATATTCTGCAGAACAACAACAACTACTTGCAATTATATACCGCCCTTCATCCAGTATAGCGTCTCAGACCTGGGATATGATTGCACCACACAGGCTCACAGCCAATCTCTCCTGTATCTCCTTTGCTGGAGGTCGGGCTGACGGAAGCTGATCTGACTTACTCGGGTTACTCGTCCCCTCCGCTCCACAATTGGCCGCCAAGCTTTCAGCCACCAAGCCTCGAATCTCCGGAACTCTCTGCCTCAACAGCCCTACCATGTGGCCCCCTATTTGGTCATCTTCAAATCACACCTGAAGACTTGCCTCTTTGCCCGTGTCTTCAGTCACCTCCCCTCCATTTCTGCGAACCATATCACTGCTAAGTGCTCCGAGATGCTACACATATGAAGGGTGCTGTATAAATGCAAGTTGTTGTTGTTGCGTGTTTCCCAGATTTTGCATCAAGTTTGTGTCAGGGTTAGGCTGACCCACAGCCCTCGGCATTGGAGTTGCACAGGGTTCAAAATATCTGCAGCACAAGTCCTCATTGACTATTGAAAGCTCAGCAAATACAGGAGCATTTATAGTCATATAACCAAAGCTTTCATTATGCAATTTTTACATTTGATATGGAGCCTTTCATATCAGGAGGACGTATCAAATAGCTTCGCAGGATATACAGTGAAGTATTTTTGGAGGCAAACGCAGCTGCCAATTTACCCACAGCAATGTCCCACAAACACCCATGAAGTGAATCACCCAATTTTATCTGGGCGATTGCCGGCTAGGACACTGGGAGAGAAACTCCTTTTTCTCTTTCGAGTAGTGCCGTGGAATCTTTTAACGCCCAGCTGAGCAGGAACAGAGAAGACCTCGGTTTGACATCCCATCCGAAAAGTTCTTGCGCAAAGTGTTCTCTGTTAGCATTTAAATTGGGCTGTTAATGTTGTTTTCTGTAATTATAGGAAAGCCCAAACCAGTAGTAGCCTCTCTATTTGGAGCTGTTTCAAATACAGCTTTATTGAGATGGATCCAATTGGAGGGAAGAGTGATGTGTGGGATAGGACCCAGCTGATCGCTGCCTCGAATTCCAGCACATGTCAGCAGAGTGAATTCAGAGTGTTTTGAGACTGTCCTCCAGACACGAAAGATGCTGTTATCAAATGCAAATGTTTTTTTTTATTGCGTGTACGTCAGCGTTTAGTTCAGTTAGGCTAAATTTCTCTTAACTTTGTTCCAGATGAAGATCTCCAGTTCAGAAAGCAGCCCCTGCAGGAGGAGGATGAAGAATACAAGGACAGCAAGTCATGGTGAGCTTCAACTAGACAATAGCTCTTATAGCTCTAGGCTGGTCTGTTGAGTTGCTGAACAGATGCCTGGTCTGTGCTGAGTGAGCTCACTTTAGTCCAGACAGGCGATAAGAATTCAGGCTAGGAATTCAGCTACGTTCATCTGCTCTCGATCATCAATAACCCCTCTCCATCGCTTTCCCCTCCTCACTCTTCTTTACCCTCCTCCCTCCTCTTTACCCCCCTACCCTCTCCTTTTTAATCTCCTCTAATCCGCTTGAGAAGTCCTCACGAGGATAGGATCAGGCTTGATCATGATGCCTGCAATGTTGAATGGTCTAAGGAGAAGCTGAGTGTCAGCCATCTGCCTGGAAGATGTTATCTAAATGTATAGCACCTTGCAGTCAAAGCACTAGAGCTTAGGAGGTCGAGTGGTGATCTTACTGATGTGCTTGATATAATGGATGTGATGGGGGTGGGAGAGAATTGACAAGCTAGATTAGGGGTCAACTCTTCATTCTAATAGGCAGATCCAAAACAAGGTGACACAGTCTTAACATTAGAGTTAGGCTGGCCTCGTCACCCCACTTGTGTTGTGTGTTTTTCCCGCAGATCCTGAAGCCTTTGGCCCCGGGAAGGATTGGGAAGTTGAGGGACTCAGTGGAAGGACTATCACTCTTCACAGATGAAGAAGACGGCAGTTAACGTGCATCGCTTCTCTTCGTCTGCTTTCTTATTAACGTTTCTGTTTCGATCTCGAACAAGGCACAGCTGATTGGTGGGATGGGGTGGGGCAGGGTGTGGGGGAGAGTGGAGGGAGGGAGAAAGGAATGTCAAACCATCCAGCTGTGTCTGCCATTGAAAGTCAAGGGTTTGTGCGCCTTCTTGTTTTTATCTCTTGTTTCTCTTTAATTCTCTGTGCAATTAAAGCACTGGCTATCCTTCTCCACCCACGCCCCGCCCACCCCCCCCCCACCCCCATGCAATGCTCCTAACCCTGACTCGTAATGGTAAAGTAAACCGGTTACTCTTGAAATCTGGTTCATACGACACTTCTTAAGCTATAACCTCGCACTGCAGTGTTTAATGGTGAAGAGGGGCCTACTCCAAGGCGATGAAATGTACCCTGTTTGGAGTGACGTCCAATTCCAGTGGAAGTGTAACGTGTAAGCTCATCAGTATTCATTGTCAAATGATGTCCTTATCGGCTGTCATGTGCCTAATGATGTACTGTATTAACAGGCTGTGTCAGTGGGCCAAACATATCCCGTAAATTGTGTAAATTGTTGCTGTTGTAATTACTGGGTCAGTTTTCTGTTCCCTTTTTCTATTTTTTACTTTTAAACAAAACAACAGATTGTAGGGCAACAGAACGCACTGAAGTTGAAGAGATTTTGTTGAGCGTTGGTAAAACCTGGCACCTATCGGCTGGCTGGGTTGCAACTCCCCCAAGTTCATCCAAAAAACCATCGGCGACTCAGAGCTCGACTACAAGAGGCCCGTCACTAAGTTCAAGTTTGATGTTATAGACTGTGGAGCACGCACAGCCCGTAGACCTTGGTCAACAATGCGTGGCGCCCGGTATTGTAGAAACGTGCAGTGAAGAGTGTGGCTTATGCGAAACTGCGGGGGAGTTTAGACATATCCGGTAAAACGCTTCGAACACTTTGTTTGTAAACCTTCTGACCGAGCCAACTGTGGTGACTCGGGGAACGAGCAGTCTGGTGGCGAATCCAAGTGCTACCTTGGCCCCGAATGTCGTTTTGTTGGTTTGTTTGTTTGTTTGTTGTTGTATTCATTTTTTGGTAATAATCCGACTGTGTTCTGTCCCGTTTCCTATGATGGACAGGGGTGAGGTGATCTCGATCAAGCCCAGTTGTAGCTCCCACGCACACAGGGCTGGCAGAGTGGACAGGAACAAAGGTCATGACTGTGGGAGTAAGCCGTGCAAAGTCTTGCATCCCTCCAAGTGCCTGGAGGCAGAGAGACTTGGGAGAAGGTTGCCAGTCAGCCAAGGATGATGTGTTGACTGGGGAGATCACAGAGAGAGGGGCATTGAGGGGAGGGAGGAGTGAAGAAATAAAGACAATACTGGAAAAAAAAGGCCTGTGTCAGTGAAGGTAGTTATACCTCGTGAGGAACAAGTTTGTTTCCTAATCTTTGTCTTCTTGTAAGGCGATAAATCTACACAAATACGGCAAGTGTTGAGGAGAGAACAGAGAACACATAAGAGACGAGATGTCTGTGTGTCCAAACCCTCTCCTGGCATGTTTCTGTATCACGAGATCTGTTCACATTCCTTCTTTCAGAAGAACAATTACACAAAACTGCCAGTTCTGCCAACGAAATCCGACTCACAAGAGGGTTTGTTTCTTTCATTCGTTCGCTTACAAAATGCGCAGTCACTTGATGGTGTGTCCTGTGAAGCGCTTTGAGACACCCTCTCGTCGTGAAAGGTGCTGTATCAAATGCAAGCTAGTTTTCTGCAGTTCTTAAAAAGAAACCAGCTTCCAAACAAAGACCGAATCTTAAGAGATTTTCGCAAATCTGCGTAAACTTGCATTTTAAGGCAAGATGGTGTCACAGGCGAAGCCTAGGTGAAATTTTTGGCCTCTGATGTGATAGCATTTTCATGCCTTTTCTCTCCTTTCCTCCCTTACCCTACACCCCCCTCCCACCCCAATCTATTATTCATAACGGATTCATCCACATGAAAGACTTAGAAAAGTATCGCTTCGGAATATTTGGGCCAGAAATTTCAGGAGGCATTCGTATTGCGTTCATTCTAATTCATTAATATTTCATATCAAATCCCATTATTTTCAATGGGGTTTTTAATTCTATGAAATGTAGCATTTGAGCCATCAGTTGCACTTGTTGTTTTTCCAAATGCATTGGAGCCCTGTTTTATATCGTAGGTTAGAAGGGAGGCACGTGCTGAGTGTAAAGGGTAGGTATTAAATATGTTGAGTGGAAAGGATGTAAGCTCTAGAAAAACTTATACACACCTGGAACATTTCACAGTCCCATTCTCCCTCCTTTTTGTTGCGTGCTGATTTAAAAGGATGTGGTAATTAATTCAGAACTTTCGTTCTTTCCTTCCCCCAATCCCCTTCAAACCATCACGCTGTAACCTTCTGAATTAAATCTGCTGCATTCTGACACAGTGCCCCTTCACTGATTTTTACTGAATTGCTGTGTGCATTATTTTTAGACCATTGCAAGTCTCTGTCGGTTGCCCTACTAATGGTCAGCGACCTGTTCAGTGTCCAGTTGATCTATCAGTCGATTTTTTTAAAAAACTTTTGTCAATTATAATTTGTGATTGTTTCTCATCACCCCCCGCCCCCCACCCCCCACCCAACCCCTCCACCCCTTCCTGAGTCTGATCGGGCGGGAGGGGGAAACATTGTGCGTCATGCTATGTTTTGAAGTGTATAATATTCAAAGTATGTAAACTGTATCCTGTATTTGTGTGTGGCGTGTGGGTGTATGTGTGCGTGTGTGTTAAAATCACAGACTGCTATACATCACAGAGTTTCTATTGATTGTGTGTAGGGTTATCCTATGTTGGATACGTTGACGTAAGCCTGTGTATAGATAGCCTTGTGCTATTTTAAGAGGCATTGATTGAAGCCTGTTTCTTGGTTTGGTGCTATCTTGGAGGTATTGTGTTTAGCCTATATATAGGCGTGGAATAATAGATGCTTTGGTGTATGTGTCAAGGCACTAATGTAACCTTGGACATGCTGAGGATGTCATGAACCCAGCTCAGGGTTGGTTGGTTATGTTTCTGCTATTCTATATGTGTGGTGGGATCCTTTGCATGGGTGACTTGGGTGAGGTGAAACGGCCACAATGTATTGCAATCCTGTGATGGCTATTGCCACCAAATAACCTGGACGCCATATATTAAATGTACAGCCCATTTCTGGGGGTGTTATTATTCTCTATAAACCTGGGTGCAGGTCTGTGTTATTTTGGATGTCCTGTTATTCAGTCCTATATTTTGAAGTGCCATCTTCAAGCGATTGGGTTCAGTTTTAAACACATGTCCACGACATCTCTGTGTCCCGTGTGTGCAAACCAATTAGCAATCCCTGCTCTCCTTGGAGGCATTGCATCTAAACGTGTGATTGTAAGACCTGGAGGCAAGTGTTCAGAGCTGTATCTGTGCCCCCTGGATTAGTGTACTCACTACCTGTGTGCAGGTGAGTGCCAGGGAAGTGTACACAACCCTGACCCGGGGGTTAGTACAGTCAATAAATGGGGCAAGGATGCATAAATCTCTGTTCCCTTGGGTGGGGGGTAATGACATATCCTTAGCACCTACAGAGCCTGGATAATGTACTCAGTCATAGTGTTCCAAAGTGATTTTTTAAAAAATCTAGATTTGTGCAGAAATTACAGAATAGAGGAAGAAATGCAGAATAGAAGGAAGTGGTCATTGAAAGACTCCTGAACAACGCAGGTAGATGACACGTCACAGTTAATGGCAATTTCTCCTTTGTGGACTTCTTTCCTCTGAATCACAGATGTGACACAAGTGTTTTTTTCACTTAATGTTAAGGTTAAAACGTCCTGCCAATATCATGTTTTACAGCCCATTGAGTTATTGCGATCTCTTTCCACGTAAGGCCTAAATATTGGGCATTGAGCTGGTTGCAAACAACATTGTTTAAATGGACTTGTTTTTTTTCCAATAAAGTATTATCTTCAAACACATGAATTTGGGTTCAGTCAGATGGCTGAGAGGTGGCTGAAATGTGTTTTAATGACGAAATACATCTTGAATTTGTGTATAGGTTTTTTAAAAAAAATTGTGAGGAAGTGTAGACAGGGAGAAGAAGGAAACTTAATGGATATATATCCGTGTTGCTCCTACATAAGTGTACAAAAAGTTTGTGAAGTATATAAAAAAAAAGTTTTAAAGCAATTCAGTTTGTGCTGTTGGTATCCTAAGGTATATTTCCATATCTGATTTTTTTTCTTAATAAACAATGATGTTTTGTTTGCTAATAGTGATCAATCTTGAATTATAATAAACTTATGTTGTACTCTCGCCAAGTTTTTTTTTCAATCAACAGAGCTTGACACACAAGATGCCAACATCCGCTCGATACAAAAGGCCCCATCTCTGGACTGTTAGTTCATTGCCTCGGCCGACACTCCAATGCAGTGCTGGGGGGGTGGGGGGGTGGGGGTGAACCGAAGCTGCATTGTCAGAGCTGCGGTCCTTCGAATGACATATTCCAAACAAGGTCCATCTGCCTGGTGAATGTTAAGGATTCCATGATGCCTGAATCAATAGGTTACAGGTTCAAGCGCCATGTCAGCACTTGGATTCACACAGTCTAAGCTGACATACCAGTGCAGTGCTGGGGGCATGTTGCATGGTCGGAGGTGCCATACTTCAGATGAGATGTTAAACCGAGGTCCCACCTGCCTGTTCAGGTGGATGTTAAAGATTCCGTGGTGCTTTTCGAAAAGAGAAGGGAGTTTCTCTTTCTCTCTCCCGGTGTCTTGGCCAACTGACACCCCCTAAATAAAATCGGTCACTGACTCCATGGCTGCTTGTGGGACATTGCTATGCGCAATTAATTGGCTGCTGTGTTTCGCCCACAAAATACACAGTCAAATTCATTTTACAGTACATCCTGTGAAGCGCTTTGAGACGGTGTGATAACATGATAAGGCACAATATCAAATGCAAGTATTATTATCTAGTTACTGAATCACTGACCAGTGGAAATAATTTCTCCCTGTTTAACTGCATCGACAGCCTTTTCTGTTGTGAAAGCTAGGTCCTGGGAAGGAGGAATGTGTTCAAAAGCACCACAAGGGATGATAGCAAGCTGATGTTTGCCTTCCAAGCTTGGTTGGGCTGGCGTCCACTCACTGCAAAATGAGCGGCACAGGATTAATGACAATAATATTAATATGGGGGCAGGTTAAAAAAAATCTTACGACTGGAGTGATCTTGAAAAATATTAATTATTGAGGGGGCAATATATTTCTTCCCAAAGTTTAACTATTTAAACCGATTCCTCCGTTCATCTTTCAAGAATCATACTGTTGAGGCTCATTATTGTCCTGTTGGATGAGATGTGTGAGCAAGCTCATTAATTTGTTGTTCGGACATTCGATGCAAAAGCTACTGGAGAGAGCCCTGTAATTAGGTATTCATCCCACAGCCTCCGGGTTTTAAACAGGCAACACAATCTCTCTTAACCGAATGCTGGCATGTGATGATTTGCTGTCACATGTAAAAGTAAGCAAACACTGAAAGAGCATTGTTAGGAGTTATGTGCGTATGTCAACTATGTTTTTGCCTTAGTCAGTATATTAATTTTACACTTGAGCAGACTGGTCAAAATCATGCTTTGCATTTCAATAAGGCCCAGTGTTTAATATTTTAATGTTTAATATTTTTCGCAAGCCTTTTTATTTTTGTGTTTCTCTTTTTTTCGCTACTCAGATTCTGGCCAAGTCTTTATGCCAGCCAGCCTGGCTCGGTTACTAACATTCCTGCCTGTGGGTCAGAAGGTTGTGGGTCCAAGCCCCGTGTTGAGACTTTGAGCCAAAAGCTTGCTCCGTGGGAAAATGTCTGCCAGGTTGGCCTACGATTTCTCTGTGAAAGGCTTTGAGTTGTTTTATACATTTGCTATATAAAATGCATTTGCATTCGCCTACAAAATGCACCATCACTATGCTTTGCAGTATATGCTGTAAAAAGCTTTAAGACACCCTCCCCATGTGAAAAATGCTGCATTGCTTGCACAGATTATTTCTATTTTATAGTCATCGTTATTATTAAAGATTATTGTTGTACTTTCTGACCCTTTGGTTTGGATCCTCTCAAGCGCAGTGATGCCTCTCCCCATGTGCCAGACATCTGGCTGACCAAAAATAACATTTAGTCCTCATCCAGATCACTTTTTGAGAGAAGGCAACTCAGAAGGGACCTCACAGAGGGGCGTGAAATTTAAAGGGGATTGAAAAAGTAAGCCCAGAACAATACTTTAAAATGTAACACGATAGCAGAACAAGAGATTATTGAGTTTTAAAGACAGCTCTTTGGAATCGTAAAGAGCAATTTCAAGACGGATACCAGGAAGTTTTTCTTTACGCCAAGGGTAATAAATGATTGGAACAAATTGCCAGTAAAGGTGGTAGAAGCCTGGAACTTTGGGACTCTTTTTTTTATTTAAAAAAAAGCGCAGCTCGATGCAACGATGGGGTGAGGGAGGGGGGCCAGGGGGATGTTCTGAAGGGATGAGATTGGATGGACTGAAGGTAGGGTGACCGTACATCCCCGATTTCTGGGGACAGTCCTTGGGTGGGGCCAAATTTGCCCCTTCAGCAACAAACCGAGCAAGAACGATAAAATCCTAAAACAGATAATACGCTCATCCGAGAGAAACAGCCGTTAAGTCCCGACAAACTTCTCCAGTAACGCCAGGAATTGTGGCGAGTTCAATATTTTTTTAGAGAGGGCACGTCCTTGGATTTGTACGGTCACCCGACTGAAGGGCTTCCCTTCTGCATCCAGACCCATCCCGGCGAACCTTCTCTCTGCCATCTCTTTATTATTAATAATAATAATAATTAACAATAATCCTTGCGTGCGATACAGCGCCTTATCGCGTCTTCGAGACGTCTCAAAGCGCTTCGCGGGATATGCGGTAAAGCGAATTGACTGTGCATTTTCACTGTTCACTCTCACTCTCTCTGTGTGCCTCAACCCCACTTTTGTCTCTCCCCCCCACCCACCCCTCTCCCCCCCCACCCCCCTCAACCCCTCTCCACCCCTCCCCCCCCCCCCCTCCCCCCCCAACCCCTCTCCACCCCTCCCCCCCCCACCCCCTCCCCCCCCCACACCCCTCTCCCCCCCACCCCTCTCCCCCCAACCCCTCTCCACCCCTCCCCCCCCACCCCCCCCCCCCCACCCCCCTACCCCCCCACCCCTCTCCCGCCCCACCCCCCTCCCCCCTCCCCCCACCCCTCTCCCCCTCCCCCCCACCCCTCTCCCCCCCCTCACCCCCCACCCCTCTCCCCCCCCACCCCCCTCCACCCCCCTCCCAACACCTCTCCACCCCTCTCCCCCCCCCACCCCTCTCCCCTCCCCCCTCTCCCCCACCCCTCTCCCCCCACCCCTCCCCCCCCAAACCCTCTCCCCCCCCTCACCCCTCTCCCCCCACCCCCCCTCCCCCCCACCCCTCCTCTCTCTCAGCCCCACTCCTTTGCACCCCACATGGGTCGGTGCTGGAGGCTGCAGTTCCAGAAGGGCTGCTCCTCCTGCCCTAGGGGCGACAGACGGTGGCGCCCGGTGAGGGCGGGCAGTCGGGTGTAGAGGGGGGGGGGGAGGGCTGCTCTTGCCAGTCGTTGTTGCTCCGGGCGACGGCGACAGCCCTCGTGTTAGCGAAAGCCGCGGTTTCTGAGAGAGAGGTTAGTGTTCCCCAGACCTCGGGGGGAGGGGGGGAGACAGGGGGGGGGTGGGGGGTAAGGAGCCGGGGAGCAGCCGAGGCCCCAAAGAAGCCCCGGTATAAATTGCGGGGTGAATGCCGGGGGTAGCGGCGTGAGGCTGAGGCCGGGCCCCGGGCCCCGGGGTGGGCAGTTGGGGGGAGGGGGGGTTTGGGTGTTACACCGCGCGGGCGGAGAGCACTTCCTATATACACACTCACTGCATTGACACACACTCACTACACACACACTCACTACACACACACACTCACTACACTGCACACACACTCACTACACACACTCACACTGCACACACTCACTACACACACTCACACTGCACACACACACTCACTACACTGCACACACACACTCACACTGCACACACACTCACTACACACACTGCACACACTCACACTGCACACACACTCACACTACACACACACTCACTACATTACACACTCACACTGCACACACACATTCACTACATTACACACTCACACTGCACACACACTCACTACACACACTCACACTGCACACACACTCACTCACTACACACACTCACTAACTACACACACTCACTACACACACACTGCACACACACACACTCACTGCACACACACACTCACTACACACACTCACACTGCACACACACACTCACTACACACACACTCACACTGCACACACTCACTACACACACTCACACTGCACACACACACTCACTACACACACTCTCACACTGCACACACGCACACTCACTACACTGCACACACACACTCTACACACACTCACACTGCACACACACTCACTACACACACTCACTACACACACACTCACTACACACACACTCACTGCACACACACACTCACTACACACACTCACACTGCACACACACACTCCAGCACTACACACACTCACTACACACACTCACTACACACACACACTCACTGCACACTCACTACACTACACACACATTCACTACACACACTCACACTGCACACACACACTCCAGCACTACACACACACTCACTACACACACACTCCAGCACTACACACACTCACTACACACTTCAGCACTACACACACACTCACTATACAAACACTCATACACACACACACACTCCAACACTACACCACACACTCCAACACTACACCGCACACTTACTACATCACACTCACCACACACACTCACTACACATACACTCACTAAACATACTACACACACTCACTGCACTACACACACTCACACTACACACACTCCAGCACTACACACTACACTACACCACACACACTACACCACACACTTACTAAACCACACTCACACTACACACACTCACTACACCACGCACTCACTACACCACACATGCACATTACACCACACACACTCCAGCACCACACACACTACACCACACACACTCCAGCATTACACACACAATATGCCACCTGCTACGCCACTCACCCACACTACGCCATACACACTCACTACAGTACAGACTCACTACAGTACACACACACACTCCAGCACTACACCACACACACTACACCACACACACTCACTACAGTACACACACTCACTGCAGTACACATTCACAACACTACACCACACGTTTTTTAAAAAAAATCTGCAGGATTGTTAGCCAGGGCGCTGGGAGAAACTTGCTTCTCTTCTTAAATACTGCTGCAGGATCTTTGATGTCCACCTGAACATCTAAGGATGCAACGCTCCCTCGAGTGTCAACCTACACTATGAGCTCAAAGTTCGAAAGTAGGACTTGAATCTATCTTTTGTGTTGCAGTGGGTGCCAGTTGGCAAGAGATGAATTGTTCAGGCGGCTGTTAAAGATTCCGTGATAATATTCAAAACGAGGAGGTGTCTTGGCCAACACTGCTCCAAAATAAAGTGGTCATTCACCTTCTGGCTGTTTCTGGGATGTTGCTGTTCGCAGATTGGTTGTTGGAGTCAGCCGAGACTCGCATCCTGAACGTTGAAGCTCAATCTGCCCCACCCACCCGCTTACACATCTTACAGTACTTTCGCCCACGGAATATAGTCAATTAATTTTACAGTATATTCTGTGAAGCGCTTTGAGATGTCTCGAAGAAGTGATAAGGCGCTGTATCAAATCCAAATGTAAGGATTATGACAGAAGATGCGGGAATGTAATATTTTGGAAGTTAAAGATGTGAAAACTGTGGTTTCAAAGGTTTAAATTAAGCTCATTACTGCCCGAAACTCACCCATTCTTTTGGGGACAGGAAGTTTTTTTTCATAGTTGTATCAGAATGTTTGTTCAGCTGAATAGCATTATTTAAAGAAAGCAATTCTTTTGCCTTAAGGTTTCAAAACTTCAGCCTGGCGGGTTCTACTGTTTCTACACTCTACCGGTGGACAGTCAACCATTATTGAATCACCAATCGAGGTTGTTCCGTGTATTCAAGCTCCTGAAATAAATTATGTCCGTGGATTTGGGTCAGTGCTTGTTTTCCCCCCCTATTTAAACCAAATCTTGTGCAATAATTCTTGTGCAGTACGATGCTGGATGTGAAAGGAATGCGGGGAGTGAGTGGGAGAGTGGAAATAGTTAAGGTAACTTATGTGGAGCATTAATGCAGAGTTGATAGATTGAATAGCTTTTTTTTTCTGTGCAGTAGCATACTGTGATTTTTCATTGAAGATTAAATTAATACCTTGTATGTGCAAGCACATATTTTAGTGTTTTTTTAAAAAAAATGGGAAATAGGTTTGTTTTACAGATTTATCTGACTGTCTGGTCTAGTTAAGTGGATTAGAGTAATTACTGAGCCTGGCAGAATGAGGGCACTGTTTATAATCTGCAATTGAAATTTGCTTGCATTCTGTACTCTTCAGGGACCTGGGTTTGTTGTGAGAAAGTAGCCGTTCTTCATGGTGGCTTTCTGTTGGCCGAGAGGCAAAGCCAACCAAAAACTCTTTCTGAAATGCAGAAGTCTGACTGGGCTGCTTTCGGACAACCTATCCTTGACGCTGTGCATGAGGTCTGCACTGGAGAGGCCGGTGCCAGATGGGGACCTTCAGAATCCAAGCTGTGGGAGAAGAAAGTGATCGCCTTTCTGTGGGCAAAACTGTTCAACTCAAATGTGAGTGCAAAGGGAACACCAGACTTTGATGCTGAGGGTGACAGGAGATGGAAGGAAGACCTTTTCTTCTCAGTGGAAAGTATGATTCCCAGTTTGAATCACACGGTCCTTTTTGAGCTGTTGAAAGCGCTCAGGGCATCCGAGACCTTCGTTGAGCTGCTTTCAGTGTTGCCAGCGGACACGAGGTACTCGGAGGTGAACCGGCTTGTGGAGCACGTTCTTGATCGCACCTCCGATCAAGATGTGGCATTCTTCTTAGACATCTGGTGGGAGCTGATGAAACACAGCGAAGGACAAAGGGACGAAATTGTTCAAGCGTTTGGATCCGAGATTGCCAAGTACTTGGCGCGTGCATCTGACGAATGTTACCATTCCTCAAAGAGACTCAAACTAGATCCCTCCATTTCCCACAGCTCCTCAGAGAACTCTCCTGGGTCACCGTGCGATTTGTCCATTCCATCTCTTTTATTGGATGGACTGAAGAGAATGAAACCTTCTATAGCGCCTTATATTCTTAAGTGTCTGGCTTTAGCAAAGCTGTCAGATACACTATGTAAGTCGGTGCTTTACGATAACAGAGTCGAATTGCCTGCTGAGGCTTATTTGCAGAAACTCACCAAACTGCTTGTGTTAGGGGATCCCACCATCCCAAAGTGCCCAGTTACGGAAAGTTTTGTCAGGCGAGTGAAGGAAGCAGAGAAAGAGTTGAGAGCTTTTTACAGAATATCCAACTTTAAGCTGCCCCAGGGCTTGCTGGCCTATGGACTTGAAACGCTCGCCGACCTCTTGTATTCCTGGTCGACCGAAGTTCAAAGTGAGCTTGAGAGAGAGAGAGACATTCAGCAGTGCAGTCTTGACCTTTATAGAACAGTGGAAAGTTTGACTCGGCTAAGCGAAACCTTTCAGATGCTTCAAGATTCTGAGACAGTGTCTGAAGGTGAAAAGAAGACTTGGTCAGAACTGCAGCAATCACTAACAGGTTTCGTGCAAAGGGTTAACTCCCTTGTGCTATTAGACGATGCCGCCAGACATCAAGTGGAGTTTCCGCTTGCCGTGACCACAATTGAGGGGAGAATGGAAAGATACACAGAAATATGTGAAATATTTGCTTCTAATGCCAACTGGGCCTTTTGTGAGGACGGCTGGCTGAATTGCCTGGAGAGAAACCGTGATGTATTTCAGTGCACGGATCTGGTGTTGAGGTTAGTCACAGTCCTGATGGCAAAATCCTGCCACATTGCTAACCCAACGAAGGCGCCAAAAACCAGATTAAAAAATGTAATTTTGAGTTGTTTCTCTGCACTTTCGATCTCTGATAAGAATAAAGTGCTCTCGGGAGTACTGTCCTCCTACGGCAGTCAAGGACTTTGTAAAGAAGAAGGAGCCATTAAGGATGGATTCCAAAAAGAACTGAACATGGCATTTAACTGCATCACACAGAGCGAGACTGTCAATAGCATCGATAAAGCCGTAACTGCCATTGCAAGAGTTGCTCTTCTGAACCCAGAGGCCACCTTGGAAAAGGCTTGTCACTTGGCCGTAGTGAACCTTGGTGCCCATAAACTGCTTGGCCAGATCCTGAAGAAGCTGCCAGCCTTATCGTTTGTGGACAATCTCCTTTCTGCCCAGCCAAATATTTTAGCCAAGTGCCTACTAGAAACTGGTTGGGGCAACCTTAGCACCCCAAAAGAGGAAAATCAGTTTCTTGAGCTCCTGACCTCTCTGATGGAACCAGGAGAGATTCTGGGTGACCAAACACCAACAGTCCCTCTTCTTCAACCATCAGAAGCCATCAAGATTTTCGTCCTTCCTCATCTGATGGAAAAATATTTCAACGTAGACTTGGCCCTCAAAGTTCTCAACGGAGCCTTACAAATCCCAGTGACCGACGATGGGGCCAAGGAGCACTGGATAGTGACCTGTTGCCCATTCCCACTCATATTTGCTCTTTCTCAGCTCCTGGACAGCTGTGTCTCGTGCTGGGAGGCGGAGGAGGACGACAGTGAGGCTCCAGATCATATCTCCATAGAAACCAAAGGCTTGCTGGTCGAGGCGATAGAATGTGTGTGTGATGCAGTCGGGCAGGTAGTCTCGACGCGCCCCGAGTCATGGTCCACGTCAATCTGTTGGTTATATCAAAAAACAGAGCTTTTGGACTGGTGCGTACGTCTCCGTTTGAAGAGCATCTTCGGGGGCCATTTCAAGTACGAGGTGCCCGCCACGCTGTTCGAGGTGTGCGATCTTTCGGACGACGGCTGGTCACCGCTGCACCTCCCGCAGTACGGGCCGGGCACCGGGCTCCTGGCCTGGATGGAATGCTGCTGCATCTCCACGCACATGATGGAGCAGATGCTTTCCCACCTCACAGTCAACGCCAACAACATCGATGAGCTCAACATGTTTAGCAAAGGTTTCCTCGTCGCGCTGATCGAGGTGCTGCCCTGGTGCAGCTCCAGCGAATGGAAACGTCTCAACCACGTGGTCCGGAGCCTCTTACAACGGGAACTGCTGCACGTGCCCTACACCCTGGAGTACGTCCATCACATGCCCCTGCTCAACCTGAGACCCTTTGCCCATCACCTGCAGTTCTCTCAGCTCTTGCTGCGAGCGTTTCAGCTCATCTGCAGCTGTAGCTGCGCAGACTGGCTGCCGACAGCGGGGTGGAAGCACGTGGTGAGGCAGTGTGCTGGCAGCATGTCCGACATCCTGGAGTCGGTGAAGTGTAAGGTGAAGGCGCACGGGACCCAGAACCACGACGCGAGCCAGGAAGCCGTATTCGTCATCATGCAGCTGTTCTGCCACCTCCTTCACATCATGGTCATGACGCCCAGCGGGACCTCTGACTCTCTCTACTTTGTATCCTTGGAGCTGCTCTCGCAGTACGAAACGCTGGCGTTAGCCAGCACCTCGACCACCGGGTTACTCAACAAAGTGAACGAAAAGCACTTCCTGCAGACCATTGCAGAGAATCTGCCCGACGAGGAGCAGCGTTCCACGTTGCTGCAGAAAATCAGCAAGCTCTAACAGGCTGTCTAAAAACGTCTAGAGCTGCTTTCAGTTGACGGAGTTTGACTTTCGCCAGATTGGACTAAGAGAAATCTATTTCTAAAGGTGTCTCCAGTCCTCTCTTGATGTCCTTAGGTGTGGTGATTCTGCCGTGTAAGAGTCTGTGCCAATTAATCAAGTGATTAGAGAGTAACAGAGTAAAGAGAGACACTCCAAACTACATCATTCTATCCTTGAACTTTAAAAGTCTGGACAGATTTGGAATGGTGGCGATTTGACTCAGGTAGAACAAACTGATCAAAGTTTACTGTGGCATTTGATGATTGAATGATTGAACTCGGCAACCTGACAATGCAGTAAGAAAGCAAACATTCCAAAGTGCTATTTGTAGTTCTGAGCCTTACAGTTGCTATAAAAATAAATCATTTTATGAATACAAGTCAAAGCTGTTGATTGTTGTCTAACTGTCCATTCAGCTTTATTTTTTATTCAACTTCATGTCCAACGTGCATGGAAACCTATTACCTTGCTTTTTAAGAGTCTCCAAACCGAACTACAAATTTGTGGTTTCCATTTACATTACATTCCTTGGGGTGCGCACTCTCCCCAGAGGGATGCACTTTGCTTACCTAATTTCGCAGAATTTGTTTACGGGATTGGCAGGGAGAACAGGAGAGGGCGAATGGCCCTTGGACAGATCGTGTGCATCTCCTAAAGCTGGTTACAAAGCCCAGCCGTGTGGACAAGAATGTTTGGGAATAGGTCACCCACCTGCTCCCTGAGACTGAGAATAAAGAATTTCGCAAGAAACTCAGAGGAAAGTCATTTGAAAATGGGAATGATTAACCACTGGGAGGCACTCTTTGAAACCATATCGTCATTAATACTGGAGTCTGTTTTTAACATAAATATAAATAGCATAATATCCCGCTTAGAGCACACACCTCACAAGCAAAACGACTGGGGTTCGATACCCGGGTGAGGCGAAACCTTAGGCAAATTTCCTTACTCCACACTCCTCTGTATCCTAGCAGTAAGTAGGAACCCGGTTGTTAGTCATTGGAGGATCCCTTTTCAGGGGGTAATAATCCCTTTGAAAAAAAAAAATTTGGTCACTCAATCCACGGCTGTTTGTGGGACACTACTGTATGCAATTGGCTGCTGCATTTCGACCCCCCCAAAAGTATATTCTATGAAGCGCCTTGAGATGCGCTATATCAAATGCAAGTATTATTATTATATTGCCCCAATTCTCCCAGCATCCAGTGTTTCGACAGTGGTCTCAAGTCCCTTATTCTGCTACGTGTGACCCTGGACTAGTGGGTATGCACAAGCTAATTTGATCCTAGAAGCTATCACAGCCCAAGTCGATCCTGATCTTGCTCAATCTTCATGTGAAGACATTTTCCAGCAGGTTTTGGGATTGTTACTAGCCTAATTTTTTTCCCTCTTCCCCTTTATTCCAGCCACAATGCCTTGCTTCTTTGAGATGAGTAAACTCAGCACAAACCAGTAATTGAACCAGTGGCTTTCTGGGGTTTGGCATTGAACAGTGAACTGAATGCCAACTACCAGACATTATCTACTGGGTCACTGGGCGAGGCCTCAGAATATGTAACTAACAACTAACTTGCGAGTGTTGCTGTTTTAATGTTTAATAATAATAATTAGTAAGCAAATCAGTAGCATTTAACTCTAGAAGACATCTTAAGGAGTTGGACACATTTCCATATTCCGAAAGAATGTGCTTCCTCCCTGCCTTCAAAACCCACCTTAAGTACAGTCAAATCACATTACAGTATATTCTGTGAAAGTGCTTTGAGACGTCTAGCAGATTTGATAAAGTGCTATGTCAAATGTGAGGATTATTATTATCACTTCAACCGTGCTTTTGGCCACTTTCCCCTCTCCCTTTCAAGCTCAAGCTCCCAGTTGCCAGCTGAGTGAAATGCTTTGAGATGACCTCTCGATACGAAAAGCACTACTTTGCGCCTTTGGTCACCCTCCTACCCTTACCCTCCCTGCCCTCCACTGCTCCTGATCCCAACATCCTGCTCGGGTCCAAATCCCTGATTGTCCAGCGCCCCGGGACGTCCTCCCAATGTAAAAGGCGCCGTGAAAATGTAATTTATTGTTGTAAATTGTATATAAAAAAATTAATCTGGAAATCAAGGCAGTTGCCTGTTGCAATATTAAGATTGAAATTTATTGCTGTTGTAAAATGTGCTGCATTTTGGCTGACCTCGAAAGTTCGACTTGTTCAATTCTCATTGAAGTTTTCTTTTAATCTCCTTTCAGAGATCTCAGCGTTGATGTTCTGTGGTTAATGTGTTTCTACAATTTGGTTCCTGAATTGGAATAAGTCTATCAGGTATTTTCATAGACTTCCTTCCTAGTGCATCATTTCCTTGCATTTGATATAGCGCCTTATCACGTCTTCAAGACGTCTCAAAGCGCTTCACAAAATATACTGTAAAGTGAATTGACTGTATTTTGTGGGCGAAACACGGCAAATAATTGCACACAGCAGTGTCCCACAAAGCAGTGTCGTGGATTGAGTGACCTAATTACTATTTTTTTTGGGGGGGAGGGATTATCACCCCTGGAAAGATGTAAATCCCTTCACATCTCTGTGATCTTCTACTTCACTCTACTATGCACCACCTCTGCCCAGGCAACCCATGATCTGCTGTGAGTTCCTCTGCCCCCTCAGTAACTACACCCATAATCCGTCTCTACTCTGCCCACCTCCCAGCCCCCTTTCTCTGTGTTTAAGTCTTTCTAAAAAAACTACATCTTTGACCGTGCTTACGGGCACCTCCTTTGCTCTGGATCTGACGCAGTCTCTGTCAAGCCCTTTGAAGCGTTATCCTACATAAAATGTCCTATATAAATATACGTTGTTCCTAATGTCACATTAGGAACAACGTATAGGAATGTTCTCTTATAACCTTTTGCATGTGAGGAAATGTAAATATTGTGGTTGCGAGCATGTTCCAGCGATTTGCATTTGAGGTACTGGCCTTTGGTCACCCTCCTTCCCAAGCCCTGACCTCCACCCTCCCGGATCCCGACCCCCCAGCTCGGGTCTGAAACACTAATTGTCCAGCGCCTGAGGAAGTCCTCCCAATGTGAAATGCGTTATTCAAATGTAATTTCGTTGTATTGTTTTGTATACAGGGTGAGTTAGAGGCAGATTGCTGGCAAAATATACAATGGCTTGTAGAGGCATAGAAACTCCCAGCAGTAAGAAAAGCTATGATTGAAGGACTCATGGCTGGATGAGAGAAGCAATTTACAAAAGTGGATGAGACACATCCGTAGGCAAACCTATGAAAACTTGACCTCAAAAGGATGGGAGCAGAGAGGGTGTGACAGACATTCCAATGGCTACACTCAGAGATGACAAATTGATAAAGACTGGACTTTAAATTAGGTTTAATTCAAGGAGAATGTGTTCCCAGAGGGGAGGACAGGAAATCAACAATACACTAAAGTATAAAGAAACGACTTCAAAGTTTTTTTTAATCAGGTGCGTGTCTGACACATGGAAACCCATGGTCAGGCAAGCCAATATGCAATGCACCAGGTATGCAAACCAGACATGAGTTCTGTATATTAATGCCAACCACATATAGAAATTTGCATTTCTCTGGAAATCTTTATTCAACAAAAATATAATGTAAGCACTCAGGACAGACATTTACATTAAGTATTGTGAGGCCGCATTGTAATCAGAGTTCATGGTTAAACGTTGGAATTGTATTGAGTGATTTGTATGCTACAATTTCAGGGCTTTCACTTTTTGCACATTTTTGCCAGTCTTTGCCAGTCCTGTAATGAGGAGGGCAATCTCCCTGCCGTTCTGAATTAGTCTAATTACATAAATAGCCCAATTGCACAGTCCTGTGTCTCAACACTGCTCTGCTGCATTGAGAGCACTGACACCAATTCCCATAAATATAGACGCTCAAACTACCCTTCCTAAAACTCTGGGACATTACCCTCAGTTCTGTATAAATGCAAGTTGTTGTTAAAAAACTGCAGAGGTATTAGCTCCAAGTCAATAATACTGTGATCATCTCAATATAATATCCCTTGTGCAATTCCTATCAACAAATTAGTTAAAACTACACTCTATCTTGAGGGAGAAAGAGGCCAAGAAGGTTGGTTGGACTGATGGTCTAACTCTTGCTTGAATTCGTTTTCCTTACAGCTTTTCTTTAAAAAAATAATTTATTGTCCTCATTCTTTCGGCAGTGGTAATCTGAGCCTTGGCTGGTAACAGCATTCTCAACTGTACACTATCATACATTCGATTGCTAAGTAGCAGGTAGACTTTAACAAAGGCAGACCTGAGGAATCTAGTAGTTACATTGCACAATTATACAGTATTCTAGCAAAGAACTAGGAAGGTTAGACACTCCCATTTAGTGCTCCCTTTTAGTTAAGTTAAAAGTAATTAAACATGGCTTAATTAATTAACATTTTAAAATGCATTGGAAACCACTTACAGTAAATTAATTTCATAAAAATATTCACACAAAGTCACAGTGATGCCAGTTAACAGTACAAAAGAAGCACGGTTACTCGTAATATACGAGGAGCCTTTTTATAAAAAAAATTAGAAAAGTAACCGTGCCTTCGACCACCCTTACCCTTCACCCTACTTAATTCCAACCCCCAGCTTGAGTGCAAATTCTTAAATGTCCAGCATCTTGAGACGTCTTTCTAAGGTGAAAGAATGTAGTTATGTTGTTGTAGTTATGTTGTTGTAGGAATCAGTGAGGAGGAGGAGGAGGGGCTGGTTGGCTTCTTCAGACCTTTGTCTTGTTCTTCAACACCGTTTTCAAGAGCAGGTAGAACCAGTAAACCTGAGGTGCCATCAGCATGAGGTTTGCCAGGCTGCAGTGCAGAGGGATGTGGAAAGGTACCCTGTGGACAGCAATGCCAAACTGCTGTCCGAAGGCCCAGTACATGTAAGGGAACAGGAGAATGCGGCACACGAAGAAGGTCACCAAGGCGATGACAGCATTCACCTTGTACAGCCTCGTCCTCTGCTTTCCAAACTGTTAAACATCAAACGCAACAGTACTTCAGCATAATAATAATAATAATCCTTGCATTTGATACAGTGCCTTATCGCGTCTTTGAGACGTCTCAAAGCGCTTCACGGGGTACACCGTAAAGTGAATTGGCTGCAATATTTTGTGGGTGAAACGCGGCAGCCAATTGCGCACAGCAGCGTCCCCACAAACAGTCGTGGATTGAAGTGACCAAATTATAATTTATTTATGTTTTGCACCAAGACAGGAGAACCAGAGGAGATGGATTCAGCAGCATTTGCAAAAGAGCAATTTTGGGACGGACTCAGGAATTTTTTTTCTTTACCCAATGGGCAATTAACGACAGGACAGGTAGGCAGGAAGTGTGATTGATGCCAGGACACTGAGCTCATTTGATTAAGAAAGCAGCTCAGTGCTGTGGTGGGTGAGTGGATGTTCTGGAAGGAAAGCTCATCCGAACTGATCTTGGGAGAACAGAGACCTGCCAATTTTGCACCATTAAACTACATATCGTTCTAGCGCGTTCTAGACACCTCTCACCAACTAACCTGATGAAGGATTTTGCCGAAAGATAGAAAGGGAGTGCTCAGCTCTGCCATCAGCAGACATCCCAGGAAGAAATCGCCCAGGTTTTTCCTGTAGAACTGCAAAAAAAATAAAAGTTTCAGTGTTAAAATATGAATTTTATCCTTACTGAATAAATACTGGGCCTGTCGGGGCCTGTCACTGGGGTTAGATAGTACAGAGGATCAAAGATTCAGCCAGGCTTGTTTCAAAGTTAGATTCATATCATATTTTCAAGACAGTGTCTGCCAGTCCATATCTTCTATGTGATTCTAATGGACGTTTTGTCTATCTAGGTTAATCTCTCTCTCTTTCAGATGCTGAATGAATGAGCTGTTGTGTATTTCCGGTTTTTCCTGTGTTTCTACTGTCAGGCAATGTTATTGGAGACATGGTCTAAAGTCACAGCCTTGTGAAAGCTCTTCTTCCATTCTCAGCCGTAAAACTGTTTTAGCAAAACTGGTGAATGAGTTAACAGCAAGACAGGAAAAGCGAGAGATGGCATGGGACATATGAACCTCTAAGTACTGTATTTAACACAACTATATACAGTCCATTCTTGTCCATAGTCAGACTGGACAAACAACATGTTAAGGACCTAATAGTATTTCGGTAAGACCCACAATAATTGCTATCCCTTCCGAGTCTCTTACACCCAGCATTAACCAAATTGGATCCACCTCACTTATTAAATTTGATGTGCATTGGGGATACTGCGATGAAACTAATACAGATACCGAAACTAAGATCCTTTCCGTCAGTATGACTCGGTCCCAAATTCATCAGCGCCTCTTAATGAATGAGTCATCAGGAATACGTTTTTGGATGCTAATCTCATGAGGCCAACAGGTGAATGGATAATATTTTGGAGTGAACTTTGAGTAATCACTGGTAACAGGTTTCAGTGTTTATAGGCTGTTGATGATACCGGTGTGAACAGGTAAGCAAATGTTTGCAGTGACAGCTCACGTCTGTTGAAGTGAGTCAATTGCCTGACTGACACTAGTTTTGTCCTTCCTCTGATCACTGTTTCTACATCGTGATAGTGATGGTGACAGTATTGTGATGGTTACAGAAACTCTGTGTCAAAAAAGCAGACTGTTGTTCTTGAAGGTACAGATATTCTGGTTCTCTGCAAAGCAAGATTTAACAAACGTCAAGTTCAGGAACAGCCTGTGGGAGTTTGGTGGCTGGAGGTGGGAGATAAAGTAATATCTTTCCCTTCTCAGTGAAGTGATAAATGAAGTAATAATTCCTTAAAAAAATAATAAAATTGGTTACTTCAGTCCACGAATGTTTGTGGGATGCTGCTGTGCGCAGTTGGCTGCTACGTTTCACCCCCAGAATATACAGTCAATTCACTACAGTATATTCTGTGAAGCGCTTTGAGACGTCTCGCAGACGTGATAAGACGTTATATCAAATGCCAGGATTATTATTAAACCACAAAGTTGTCTCAGGATTAGAAGGTTTCAAAAATTGAACGATAAGTAAAGATGCAAACAAAGTGCTGCGATAGATAATTCAACATTCTTTGGTCAACTGATTGACTGACGGGGATTCATTCGCTGTTGTGACATTTTGACAAAGGGATTGCGATCCTTTATCTACAAGTTGAAATGGCTTGGTAATCAAGATTGTGATTGCTGAAAAGGAATTACAACTTTAATGAGGAAAAATAGATTGATTGCGAAGGGGGAGAGTGATCATGTGGGGTCCATTGCCATCGCTGGTAACGATTTTGATCAAATGTAAAATGCAATGTTTGTTACACGGCTCTTCTCAAAAATGTGAAATAGCCAAGTACGTAACACTTTTCAAAGAGTGCTACGATACAGCTCCTTTACCTCCTCTATACTCCCCACAACAGCCCACCCCTGCGCCACACGACACAGACACACAGAACGCTTACTCACTATTTTACCCAGAATAAATGACACATTACTGTCTGTGGTTTCAAAGTGTTCACTCCATCTTGCACATTGCAGCCCTGGCAGAAAGTAACTGTTACTTAGACTGCAGATGTCACTGAGCATTTGCTTTTTAACCATTCTCTTTCAAACAGCATGAGCTTTGAATTGGCTGCACTCGCTTCAAACTCCATGTAGTTGCTTTGATAACAAATGTGGGGTTTCTTCAATCTCGCCTCAACGTTAAGATAACGCTCTCTGAACACTACGTAAGAATGAGAGGAGGCCGCTCAGCTCATTTAGCTGCACTCTCCAGTTAAAGGAACCCCTAGGGTTCAGCTCACATCTCCATTGGTCTTGAGCAACTACCCCCTTATTTGTTCAAGGGTTTACTCAGTCCAGGCTGAATCCTAAATGCAGATGCTGGTAACTCAGTCATGGATTAGCAGCACCTGCATTAGGTTTCATGCTGGCTCAGTTTACAGCGCTCTCGCCTATGAGTCAGAAGTTTGCGGGTTCAGACCCCACCTCAGGATATGAAGCTCATCGTCTGGGCTGTCACTCCACTGCAGTGCCTTGAGAGAGTTTCATTGTTAAGAAGTGACACTCCTTTAGGCTGGAGACATAAAAGTAAAGAAGATCGAGGTAATCCATTCCATAAAACGGGACTCTTAATTGGCTAACCGCAGCATTTAATTCTCTTCCAGCAAGTTTTGATTTTCATTTCTTACTTCAAATGTCTTAGTTTATTTATTTTTAATAAGGATCAGCCTCGACACATTCCGTTCCACCAACTAGCCACTACCCAACCCCAAAGCGTGGTTTTTGTTTCCTTACAAAGGAACACTGACAAAGTTGTGGCTCCTAAATATGTTTTATTGCCTATAAATCCATGTCCATTGACACCAACCTGGCCTCCTCCCCCACGTCCCTCAGAAGCACTGAATAGATTGCACGGCAAACGGTTGAAACCGTTCCAGGCAATGTTGAGTGCCTACATCCTGTCTCAACACTCGGGCTTTGTTCCCCCAGTGCCCACTCTGACAGCTTCAGTTTATAATAATATTAATAATCCTTGCATTTGATTCAGCTCCTTATCACGTCGTTGAGACATCTCAAAGCGATTCACAGAATATACTGTGAAGTGAATTGACAGTATATTTTGTGGGCGAAACATGGCAGCCAATTGCGCACAAAGTGTCCCACAAACAGTTGTGGATTGTCACACACGTACAGCAAAACCTTACCACAGTAATAGGGAAGCAGACAAGCAACAGTAAAAGATGGTGCAACACGATCAGGATATTTTTGCTCAGGAAGCCGCCCAGTAAGCCGAACCAATGTCCACACCGGTTGCCGTGACGTTCCCCTCTGTGCTTGTACCAGTAGCAAAGGTACATGGCAAATAAATCATAAGCCATGTACGGTGAGCCGAACAGTATATAGTCTCTAGAAATCCAATGGCTAGGAGCAAACCAAACAAATAGACAATTAGCAAATTGCAGATATTCCCACATAATAACTCAACAAGAGCAACAACTTGCATGTGTACGGTGATCTTCATGCAGGGTAATGTCTTAAAGCACTTTATAGAGATGATGCTGAACTCTGAGCAGGGATGGTGGGAAAGGAAGGGGGTGAAAATAACAACAACTTGGATTTATATAGCGCCCTCCACGCCGGACGGCGTCTCAGAGCCGGACGGCTTCACAATAACGGATCCCGGGGCTGAGCCAGGGGGATGGGGGGGAAGGCGACCAAAGGCGCAGTCGAAAAGAAAGGTCTTCAGCAAAGACCTGAAAATAGGAAGAGAGGGGGCGAGGTGAAAGGAGTGAGGAAGGGAGTTCCAGAGCCTCGGGGCGTAGTGGCTGAAGGCACGGCCGCTGATAGTGGAGCCAAGGACTTGGGGAATAAGGAGGAGGCCAGACCTGGAGAAACCAAGGCAATGGGCACTGTTTTGAGGAGAGAGGAGGTCAGAGAGGTAGGGGGGTGCAGAGGAGTGAAGGGATTTGAAGACAAGGGTGAGGATCTTCAAGTCGATCCTCTTTGGGACAGCGAGCCAGTGCAGTCTGGCAAGGACTGGGGTAATCAGGGAGCAGAGTTTGGTGCAGGTGACTATGTAGACAGGGTGAAAAAAAGATATGTTTTCTTGTAGATATAATGTGGGTGGGATCAGCAATTTATCACCCATTCCCTGAGTATCCTGAGAATAGTGGGGGTTTTCTATATATCACAATAGTAATAATAATCCTTGCATTTGATATAGGGCCTTATCACGTCTTCGAGACTTGTCAAAGCGCTTCACAGAATATACTGAAAAGTGAATTGACTGTATTTTGTGGGTGAAACAGGGCAGCCAATTGCGCACATCAGCGTCCCACAGACAGTCGTGGATTGAGTGACCAGTGAAGGGAATTTTTCATTTTTTTTTAAAAAAGGATTATTACCTCCGGAAAAGCGATTAAATTAAATAAATCTGCCAATCAACTAACCACCGGGTTCCTACTTACTGCTAGGTAAACAGAGACGCGTGGAATGAGGAAACATGTCTAAGGTTTCGCCCTGCCTGGGAATCGAATCCAGGTCCTCTCGCTTGTGAGGCGAGCGCTCTAACCACTGAGCTACAGGACTTCTCTTTAAATCGCTGCTGTCCTTGCGGCGATGTTGCTCAACACCATGGTGTTGGGTGGGGGGGAGTTCTAGGATTTGGGCCCTGCGGTAACTGGGAAAGAACGTGGTAAGTAAGTCTGTTTACCTGTCTCGCAAGACGTCATTGCAGGAAGATGTGATAAGGATCCCTGAGACCACCGCCATCACAGCTTGAACAGCAGAGACCACTCTGTGAACAAAATGGAGAACGTTCTCATTTGCTGCACAATTTGCAGAGTAGAGGGCAGAGAGTGATTTTTAGATTTACAGAGTTACATCATGACATAGAGTTTAATAGTGTCACCATAGACTTACATGGAATTACATAGTAATAACAATCTATCTCTAGAATTTCCATGTGTTAGGTGGGATGTATGGAATTCTCAGTTTGGTTTGAATACTCTTAAGCCTGGAGATGGACACCCGGCTGACCAAAAAAATCACTGTGTTACATAGAGTTACGTAGTGTTGTAGGATTTCATAGCGTTCTATTGCACTGAAACAGATCATTGGGCTCAACTAGTTGATGCCAGTATTTATACTCCACACAAGCCCCCATCTCCCCCCCCTATACCTTGGGCTGCAGATTTGGCATGGTATATTTTAGTGAATGTTGTGAGTTTACGAGGAAATGTTGAGAGATGTCACGGTCTGGAAATTAAACTAATAAACCTCTTCATACCTCCCATCCTAGAGTACATCCCCCCTAACCCCTGCTTACCCAATCCTGGAAAAAATTAGCCGTTAGTTGGCTTCAGAATGTCAGCTGGAATTTAACCAGCTGAAACACTGCCTGGCAAGTTTCCCACTGCCTGCCCAGCTAGGACCTGCAGAGGCTTGGGCTTGATGAGTAATTAAAAGAAAGCCAAAGAGATGCACGGTTTTATCCCTGATATTTGTGTCCTCAGTCTCTCCCCCCCCCACCCCCCCCAAAAAAAAAGAATCAGTTTTGACTTAACACAGAAGAATTTAAAGTTGTTTTGCAGCTTCCTCCCCATCCGCCCGCACCCAATTTATTACAACATCTCAGGGTAAGGAACATCTCGGGTTGGGGCTTACTCCTTTCCAGGAAACTGACAAATAAGGAAACCCAAATGTCCCCATGTTATCAGATTTAAATGCAAATACATTTTGTTAATTTCAGAGGAATTTTCCTAATTATCGTTGAGAGTGACTGTCCTGTTGTGCAACTCAACTGGTTTCAGCTGAGTAATGCTGGCGTGAATTTCTCTCCGTTTCGTTCCTAGATTTTTTTTAGCACATGAATAATATGACGCAGCTTTCGGCAGTGATTAATACATTATTTTATTTCTCTAGATGAGACTGGAGTGGGAAGGTGTGTTAAGGGGGAGGGGAAGTGGGGATACAATATTGTCTTGTTGGGCAGGGTCGAACGGCTAAATATTGTTCGATTATTACCTGTCATTTTAAAAAAAATTAGTTCAGGTGTTGGCCATTCACATTTGAAATGAAACAGTCTGACCCAGTTCGTCACTCCTTTAAGCAAAGTCTGGGCTTTGGTTCAAACTGCCTCAGTTCCTCTCTTTGACATGAAGGGATCTGAAGTCAACAACAATTCCTATCTGTCAGCTGTCTCAATACTAATCCTAGTTTTGCCTGTAGTCAGACCACTCATTCAAATTTTATTTTGAATAATCCCCACAGCAATCAATGAGGTTTGAATAAAGACTTGGAATATTAATCAGGGCGTTGGATCTCACCTTGCTAAGAAAAAAAACCTGATTTTAATTTTAAAGCCTCATGGATAAATGCAACTGAAATATTAGTAACTGCAAAACTGTAGATAAATCTATTTTTATATATAGTTCCCCTTGTGGGCTATTTAGCTGTTCTTCTTGCTGCTAGGAGGGTGGGGCGATGTGGTGAGATATGAACAAAATTTCCCTTGCTGTGGTTGAAGTGCGGCTAATTTGCAGATTGCTGAACAAGAACAATAACAACTTGTACTTATGGAGCCCGTTTCATATAGGATCAACTTCTCAAAGAACAGTTTCGCCCACAAAATATAGTCAAATAATTTTACGGTATATTCTGTGAAGTGCTTTGAGACGTCTCAATGATGTGATAAGGCGCAATATCAAATGCAAGGATTATTATTACATGTAGCTAAATGTGAAATAGTTGAAAAATAATTCTTGCATTTCATAGTGTCTTACCACATCATCAAACATCGTAAAATGGAGTTGGAGTGACTGAGTATTTGTAGGCAAAACCCCATGGATTGGAAGATCGCAAATGTCACACCACTACTTAAAAAGGTGGAAAGGAAAAGATGGGGAACTATAGGCCAGTTAGTCTCACATCAGTGATAGGAAAAATTTTAGAATCATTGATTAAGGATGTGGTAGTGCGGTATTTAGGGGAGCACAATGTAATTAGGCCAAGTCAACATGGCTTTACAAATGGGAAGTCATGTTTGACAAATCTCATAGAGTTTTTTGAGGATATTTTGAGTAAACTAGATAAGGGTGGATCAGTGGATGTGGTCTATTTGGACTTCCAGAAGGCATTTGATAAGGTGCCACATAAAAGGTTAGTCCAATAGATAAGGGCCCATGTAATTGGGGGGAGCATATTAACATGGATTGGGGAATGGTTAACGGGTAGGAAACAAAGAGTGGGGATAAACGGGTCCTTTTCAGATTGGCGGGATGTGACTAGTGGAGTGCCACAAGGATCAGTCCTTGGGCCTCAGCTATTTACCATCTGCATCAACGATCTAGATGAGGATATCGAAGTTAATATATCTAAATTCTCGGATGACACAAAACCAGGAGGAAGTGTCAACACAGAGGATGACATTAAAAAAATGCAGTGAGACATAGATAGGTTAGGTGATTGGGCAGGTAGGTGGCAGATGAAGTATAATGTAGGGAAGTGCGAAGTCATCCACCTCGGTAGCAAAAACAGTAGAGCGGGTTAGAAGGGGAGAGATTGGAATGTGTTAGCGTCCAGAGGGACTTGGGGTGTCCTTGTACACCAATCACAGAAAGTTAGTCTGCAGGTGCAGCAGCAATTAGGAAGGTGAACGGTATGTTAGCATTCATTATGAAAGGATTAGAGTATAAGAGTAGGGAGGTCTTGCTGCAACTGTATAGGGCCCTGTGAGACCACATCTGGAATACTGTGTGCAATTTTGGTCTCCTCATTTAAGGATGTACTTGCCTTGGAGGGGCTGCAGCGTAGATTTACTAGGTTAGTGCCAGGGATGAAGCGGATGAGTTACAAGTATAGGCTAACCAATTTGGTCCCATATTCTCTGGAATATAGAAGAATTAGAGGGGATCTTATAGAAACCTATAAAATCCCCTCTAATTCTTCTATTACAGAAACCTATAAGATCATCAAAGGGCATGATAGAGTAGATAGTGGGAGATTGTTTTCCCTGGTTATATAATAATAATCCTTGCATTTGATATAATAATAATAATAATAATCCTTGCATTTGATATAGCGCTTTTCACGTCGGGAGGACGTCCCAAAGCGCTTCACAGAACACACTGTAAAGTGAATTGACTGTATATTTGTGGGCGAACGCGGCAGCCAATTGCGCACAGCAATGTCCCACAAACAGTCGTAGGTTGAAAATGACCAATTTATTATTGTTTTGGGTTTTGGAGGGATTATTATTAGGCTCTATGTGGAGTAAGGAAACTTGCCCAAGGTTTCGCCCTGACCTGCCTGGAATTGAACTCAGGTCTCTCGCTTGCAAAGCGAGTGCTCTAACCACTGGGTTGGAGAAACTAAAACCAGGGGTCACAACCTTAAAATCAGAGGCAGCCCTTTCGCACTGAATTGAGGAAGAACTTCTTCACTCAAAGAGTGGTGAATGTATGGAACTCACCACCCCAAAGGGCTGTTGACGCTCAGTCCTTGAGCATATTCAAGACTAAGATAGATAGATTTCTTATTGCAAAAGGGATTAAGGGATATGGGGGATAAGGCAGGGTCAGGTTATTAGCTGGAGTTAGATTAGAAGATCAGCCATGATTGAATGGCGGGGCAGGCTCGAAGGGCTGAATGGCCTACTCCTGCTCCTACATGTTATGTTAAAACCGACAGCCAATTTGTGTGGAGTAATGTCCCACAATTTAAACAGCCAAGTGAAAGACAAGCTGACATTTACAGCTACAGAAGTTTTAAATATTAAAGCCCTGGCATTGTAATTGACTCTTATGATAACATTGAGCAAATAATTAAAGGCGGTCAACTTTAAACATTCAAACAGCTGCCAATTCAATCCACTGACCCTCTCTGGAGTTTTATATGGAGTTGGCCAAGACTCCAGGTTAAACTAACAACTACTCTGGTTGTGTCAATTCAACATGGTTTCTGGTGAGAAACAACACAAAACGTGGATGGTCTAATAGCTCAACAGAGTAGACAGATACATGAAAGATACAGACTTGAAGGGGTGTGAGGACAGGAAGAGGCAGTGAATTGAATAGACAGTTTGCTCTGAGAGCTGGTGCATGTTCGTGAGGCTGACTGACCTATTGCACCGCAAATTTCTATTCTCTTCTATGAATTAACCCGAAGGCAAATTTTTAAACATGAGACGCAACTTGTTTATGCAACAACACGCCACTGATTAGTTGCTCAATGTTATTGCAGAGTCGATTGCAATCCCACCTCCCTTAATATAAGATGACATATTCTAAAAATATGAATTAATAATTATTATATGATTACAATTTTGAGTCAGAAGGTTGTGGGTCATGCGTCACGTCAGGGACTTTGAGCTCACAGTACGGGCACCACAGTGCACTGCTGGGGGTGGGTTGAATTATTGGAGGTGTTGTCCTTCGGATGAGATGTTGAACCAAGGACCTGCCTGTTCAGGTGGACATTAAAGAACCTACTATGCTATTCAATGACAGAGGAAAATTTCTTTCTGTGGCTTGTCCATCAGTCCAACAGCAACTTACTTTACAGTATATTCCGTAAAGCGCTTTGAGACGTCTCGAAGACGTTAAAAGGCGCTATATCAAATGCAAGGATTATTTGATTTTAATTATTATAAATTAGTGATTCAACTAATAATTAGTTATTCACTACTATCATCATTATATATATATAATGTATCATCGCTTAAACTTCAGTAGCAGAACTGGACAAGGTTATCATCATTAGAAGACTCAACATTTTTAAGATAATGCCTGATTCAAATGATGCAAGTAACACCCATTAAACATTAAATTATTAAAAATTAACTTATAAAAAAGTTAAACATTAAACTCAATCCACGACTGTTTGTGGGGACGCTGCTGTGCACAATTGGCGTTTCGCCCACAAATATACAGTCAATTCACTTTACAGTATATTCTGTGAAGCGCTTTGAGATGTTTGGAAGATGTGAAAAGCTCTATATCAAATGCAAGGATTATTATTATTATTATTATTTGTGGGACATTGCTGGGTGTAAAATTGGCCTGCAATTATATTTATAAACAGTTTTTTTTCGATACCTTTAGAAATGGGTTTTGTCCACAATATTTCACAATATTCTTTATATTTTACAATTTTAAATATATACGTTACAGTATATTCCGGTGAAAGCGCTTGGAGACAACTCGACGACGTGATAAGGCTCCGTGTCAAATGCAATGATTATTATTCATCATTAATTATTATCATTATTATATGATAAATACACAATCGACAGGGAACTCACATTTAGCCCGGTCTCCGAGACACAAGACCTTGCAAAAACTGACCACGTTTGCACACAAGGAAACAGTGTCCAAAGGGCTTAAGGGCAGCACCTTTAGGTAACATCCAGTCCTGGATCCCAGTTGCCCATCGTAATAAAACAATTAACATGGCAATAATAATAATAACAGCAATAATAATACACAGACTAGGCTGGTGTTATTACCTGGTGCTGATGACAGCTGTGTCGGCGTCTGTCAAGTGCGGGTATGTCTTCTGCAGAAACCTGCGGGTGAGACTGAACAGCCCTGGGAAAAAGCAACAGCCTTGCGCTACCAAAAGCCACATGTCTTCTTTCTTTCTTTTTCTTTCTGTTCTTTGAAATGCTTCCTGCCCTCGAATTGCTCAGGTGTTTCCCTCTGGCTCCCTCCGGGTCTGGTATTTAAATAGAAACCAGTCGTGTGGTGGGGGTGTGGTGTGTGGGGGGTGTGGATGGGGAGGTTACAGGACACCTAATGAGCAAATGAGTAATGTGTTCATCCCATCAGAATGAGAGTCTCAGAGGGGAATGAGAATTCCCTCGTCCCACAACAAAAGGAAAAACACCAACCAACAGCTCTTTTAAGTGGTTAAGCACCTGATCGTCTCAAAGCAAAACTACCTTTTTAAGGCTTTTCTCTGTTGCTCTGCGTCTTGTTGGGGGTGGTGTCACGTTGATTTTACGCACGATTTGCTCCTGGGCGTACTTCATTTATTTCACAGCCTCCTCGTCTCGAGTCGAGTCGAGCTTACATTTCAAGACGACTTGCAAATATACAAGAGCTTTTTTTTTCTCTCTCTCTCTCTCTCTCTCTCCTCCTCAACCTCCCACAACTTCAAAGTCTGGCCACAAACCCCACTCGGAGTTGGATCAGCCGTTGGTACTTGTGCAACTGCTGGAAGGTCACTGCTCTTCTCTGTGAACATTAGTTTATTAATTTATTAATGAATCAATCCCCTTTTTTTAAAAAAAAATAACAGTAATAACTTGGTCACTTCAATCCGCGACTGTTTGCCGGCCGGACGGACGCTGCCGTGCGTGATCGGCTGTCGCGTTTCGCCCACAAACTATACAGTCACTACACTTTACAGTGTAATCTGCGAAGCGCTTTGAGGCGTCTCGAAGACGTGATTGGGGGCTAGATCAAATGCAAGGCTTGCTGTTATTTACTGTGGCCTTTTGATAAACCGACTTTTATAGGGAAGGCAAAATGCAGCACTGTTTCCTCTTTCATAGGGAAACAGGAACAGGAGACCTACCAGCCCCTCAAGCCTTCTGCATCAGCTTATTAGATGTCATCAGATGTTTTAATCCCATTGTCCCGCCTTTTCGGCAAACATTTCCAGATTCCCAGTGATAGAAGTTCCACCCGGATCTAGATTCACTCTTCTCTCGTCGCATTTCAGCGCGTCCACAATCCGGGAAATTGTTGAATTCAGTTTCAACTCGGAAGCCGTCTTTTTCTGTAAGTTTCTTTTAAGAACTATAGACAAATGGCTTCACACTGGATCTGCCAAATTCATCAACTTGCCAAACATTGGACGTTTGGAAATGCAAAGAAAATACAATAAATTTGACCCACGTGAAATATCACTTTTCCAGATAGTATTATAACTCACTCTGGAACTGTATTTAGACACCTACATAGATTTACATGAATTATACAGCATATAACTTGTCCATGCTGGTGTATAAATGCTACACGAGTCTTCACCCTTCTCCGTCTGATATTATTATTATTATATTTGATATGCTTTTATTCGCTTCTGTGCATATATGCAAGACAGTGCATATCTATCTTCCTCTATACTGTATTATCTCTCTGGCAGGTAAGCTAGTATTTGCTGATAAAGGAGCAGGCTCTTTTAGGTATCAATTCATGCCTTCACTAGGATGATAAATTGAATCTATTCAGAATGTCTTGCCGGCACTTGTTAATGGTGTGCTTACAAAATAGTAAAAGCTTAACCTTGACTTCATTGCACAGATGGATGTGATACGGAATTCAAGGTGCCAGAGAGTGGCTGACCGGCTGTGATCTGATTTCAGAATTCAGTGACCATTGATAAACTATTCAATCTCCGAGTTGTTTTTGTTGTTGTTTCCTGGCTCATCAATGACTTGGTAGACATGTTGCTAAAGACCTCAGTTCTTCCTCCTGGCTCCCGATAACCAACATTCTCTCAGTCAGGTTGGTGATAGCTGGATTAACATCAGCAAATGTACCAACATGTCCTGTAGCTCAGTGGTTAGAGCACTCGCTTTGCAAGCGAGAGACCTGAGTTCAATTCCAGGTCAGGGCGAAACCTTGGGCAAGTTTCCTTACTCCACACAGAGCCTAATAATAATTAGGCAAAAAAACAAAAACATAACAAATTGGTCATTTTTAATCCATGACTGTTTGTGGGACATTGCTGTGCGCAATTGGCTGCCGCATTCGCCTACAAATATACAGTCAATTCACTTTACTTCTGTATATTCTGTGAAGCGCTTTGGGAAGTCTCGAAGACGTGAAAAGCGCTATATCAAATGCAAGGATTATTATTATTGGTAACCAGCAATATTTGACATTCCAACATTACCAACCTCCCCAATGGCCTAGCAATTTGAAGGCCAGATGGTTGCATATTCAAGCTCCGTACCGAGCTGAGTTACCTAATGCTAGCGGATGCTGCAGTTGGGTGCTGGATTTGTCTTCGGATCCGTGGATTAGCGAGAAGGGAAAAAAATCAAATGAGATGCACTAATATCAGGAATAGTTTTCCTTTATTTCACACCATTCTAACCTATCAAACCCATGAGAAAAAGTGCCACATCTCTTAATTTCTAATGCAATATTGCGGGTTTGTCTCTCAAACTAAAGGACATCACAGACTTTGAAATTTACATTTGGTAAACCTAGGAAGTCAGCTAAATATTGTGATGCTGATGGGGTTAAAGCTCTTGTTCCACAATTATGCCATCTACTGTTAGAGTGCATTTATTGCAGTTTTCCCCAATGTGTTCTTGAGTGGAACCATCTGATATTCAGTACTCACAAGGTAAGTTTGGAATGAAGAGGGTCCCATTCTTCCCTTGTGAGCACTGGATTTGGCCCATTCAATCTCATCTCTCCAAAAGCCAGGCCCTACTTATTACGTCTGGAGTCCTATAGCTCAGTGGTTAGAGCACTCGCTTTGCAAACGAGAGAACTGGGTTCGATTCCCGGCAGGGTGAAACCTCGGGCAAGTTTCCTTACTTCACACGCCTGATAATAATCCCTCAAAAAAAACAATAATGAATTGGTCACTTCAATCCACGACTGTTTGTGGGACACTGCTGTGCGCAATTGGCTGCCGCATTTCGCCCACAAATATACAGTTAATTCACTTTACAGTCTATTCTGTGAAGAGCTTTGAGACGGCTAGAAGATGTGAAAAGCGCTGTATCAAATGTAAGGATATTATTATTAGTATGTTCCCATTGCAGCATCCAGCTGTTTCTTAAACAAGTCCAGTATTCCAACATCAACCAACCTTTTTCGTAATACAAGCCCAATTTTGCCCTCATCCACACACTTCTCAGAAGGCTCTCCTTGGCTAATGAACAAGAAAAGGAACCCGTTTAATTTCTTGCCTATCCCTGGGTATTGATCAGCCAACTCAGATTCAGACCTGGAGTCTGTTTGGCCATTGGGGGAGTTGACACACTCTGTTAAATGGAAGCCGGTTATCCTGTCTACAAAAGATGACATTTGCTGAACTCTTCAAGATCAATAAATGACAACTAGAAGTTAACAGCCTAGATTATTTTCCTTATTATAATTATTATTATTATTAAAATTGATCTGACGTTATCAATCGTAATAAAACTGAAAGCAGCAGGGAGCTATTATGAAGATCACTGTCAGGCCACAGAAAGCCTCAATATAAATTGATTGAGCAGGTCATGAAAGATACTTGGAAAATACAAATATTGAAGCATTTTTTGGGGGTCAACCGGGTGTCTGATACATGCGGAAACTCATCACCGTGCTTAAGAGTATCCAAACCAAGCTGAGATTTCCATGTATACCACCTACGCATGGAAATCCCAGAGATAGATTGTTGGAACGGATTGCGGACTCTCTCCTTGGAGGGATGCATCCGGCTTATCTAATTCCAGAAAGTATTAGGCACAGGTTGGCGAGAGCTGAGGCTTGGGGACCCTGTACATGACAGGCAGGCAGGGAAGTGGTGTTCTGGGAGGCGGCAGGGCATCGTGAATGGTCGGCGGTGAATTGGGTCAATTACTTTCTCCGGTTCCCAGTTCCTAAAACTGGGGAAACCGTAAGTGCAAAACTTAAGTCAAAAATGAGTAATTAGTATCGGAATGAGGTAAACGGGATGCATCCCTCATCGCAGAGAGCGGGCATTCCATTGTATAGAAATATTATATTACATTACATATTAAATATGACATTGTGTAGAAATTGTATAGCTCCCGTGTATAGGTGGCGTGCATAGAACTCTCAAGCACAGTGAGGTTTTTTTCCGACACCAGGCAAACCCCCTTCCCCCCCCAAAAAAAAACATTCAAACACTCAGGAACAGATTAAGCTCGATGGGGGGGGGGGTCCCTCTTTGCAATGTTCAATTCCTTCCCTTTACTGTTTCGCCGCCACTCACCCCCACCCCCCCCCCCCCCCCCCCCCCCGGGGCTCGATGCCGAACGATCTGTTGCTACTTTAATGATAGTAAATAATAATATAGTAAATAATAATAATAATAAGGGGGCGGCCAATTGCGCAAACAGCCGTGGATCGAGCGAGTAAATTATTATTATTATTATTATGATGATGATGGAGGGAAAGCAATCCACCAATCTATTTTGACAGAGAGACACATATACACACACACACAGAGGGGAGAATGTGTGTGTGTGTGTGTGTATATGTGTGTGTGTGCATGGTTTGTCACATGGTCACTGTTGGCCCCGCCCCAGTCACGTGCCCCCCGGGCGCACACCAGCCTCACCCGCGCGCCCGCGTCACGTGACGGGAGGAGGACCGGAAGGGAGCGAGCGAGCGGGTCCTCCACCTTCCCAGGGTGCGTCTCGGCGACAATGGCCGCCACCGTGGAGGAGGAAGAGCTGGAGTTTGTGGATGAGCTGGAGGACGTGTTGCACTTGACCCCCGAGGTCCAGCTGGCCATAGAGCAGGTACAGCAGCGAGAGCGAGAGGGGAGGAAGGTGGCGGGGGGGGAGAGGACGGCGGGGGGCAGCGCGGATACAGGGGGTGAATGGTCTGGGTGAGAGTTTGGGGCCCAGAGACTGTTGTTGTTTATAAACAAGCTCATTGTGAGCTGCAACACCCTCCCCCTCCCCCCCCCCCCCCCCCCTCCTCCAGGGGCCTCCCCGTGTAGACCCGACCCGACCCGAGCTCAGCACAGAGATGAGAGCTATCCCTTGCACCTGGCCCCCCCCAAAGCACACAGTCACTACGCTCCGCCGTCAATCGGAGCCCGTGCGTTTTTTCACACACGGCGCCTTCATCGCGTCTTCGAGGCGTCTCAAAGCGCTTCACAGGATCCGCCCTAAGGTGTAGTGACTGTCTGTTTTGTGGGATGTAACCTTACAGTAGATTCTGTGAAGCGCCATGAGACGGCTCAACGACGTGATCAAGTTCCATATCAAATGCGAGGATTATTATTATTTATGTGATACAGACCTCCTCTATAAAACGTGGCGACTTGGCTATTTGTACCCGAATGTCTGCATCATTTACTCTGCCCACTGGACTGCTCTCCTTTTCATGGGATGTTGATGGGAGCACTTGCTCCGAAAGACTGAAAATACGGTGCAGAGGCCAGCAGCGACATTTGTTGCCAAGACCTTGTGTGTCCATCAGGCTCGGTTGGTAGCAACTGGTTCCAACTCTCACATCTGAGTCTGAAGGGTATAGGTTTAAGCCCCACGTCGGGATTTCTAAGCGCTCCAAGCAGCTATCCCTTGTGAAGGTTGCTATCTACATGAAAGTTGTTGTTGAACTCACATAGCCGAGGCTGACGCTCCAGTACAATGCTTGGAGAGCACTGCATTGTTGGAGGTGCTGGCCTTTGTATGAGACATTAAACCCAAACCTATCTGCTGGTTCAGGTGGACACTAAAGATCCCATGGGTCTATTTGAAAAACTATCTTAACAATCCCTTAGGTAAAAATGATTATTCGCTTCATGGGACATTGTTGTAGGCAAAATTTGCTGCCGCGATCACAGTCACTACACTTTACATACAATTCTTCAAAGTGCTTTGAAATGTTTTGATGATGTGGAGGTTCTATATCAAATGCAAGATTTATGATAAGACTGAAACTAATTACTCCCAATTTTTACTTTTGGCACACTAAGTAATGCTTGCATTTGATATAGCACCTTTCATGTTGGGAGGACGTCTCAAAGCACTTCCCAGGATTTAATTAAAGTATATTTTAGGTGACTGTGTATTTGTAGGCAAACAATAACTGCCCATGTAATTAAATAGTAGTCATTGGTAAGAAGAGAATACATTGGAAGTGCAGAAATCTTTCACTAGAATTACACATGCTGTAAAAACAGACCATTCAATCCAACTAGTCCATGCTGTTGTTTATATTCCACATGAGCTCCTAATAATAATAATAATCCTTGCATTTGATATAGTGCCTTATCACTTCTTTGAGGCATCCCAAAGCACTTCACAGAATATATTGTAAAGTGAATTGACTATATTTGTGGGCGAAACTCGGCAGCCAATTGAGCACAACAGTGTCCCACAAACAGTTGTGGATTGAAGTGACCAATTTTTTTTTGAAGAAATTATTACCCCTGGAAAGGCGATCCACCAATCAACTAACAACCGGGTTCCTACATACTGCTTAATTCTCTCTCCTATACCTCTTTTCCTGTCGCCATTACATGCAGATTAGATCACTTCTGTGGTTGAATAGTGATCAAATTAAAGGTTTGATAAATGATTCAAATTATATTCCCCAGGTGTTTCCCTGCCAGGACCCATTGGACAGGGCTGATTTTAATGCTGTGGAATATATCAACACACTCTTCCCGACGGAACAGGTAGGACCACTCAGGCAGTGAGTGATGTATGGTTTCTGTGTAAAATTCTTCCAATTGGGAGCTTATCTTATAATCTTCTAAAACTTATTTTATAATCTTGACATCTCTTCATTCAATGTAGCCTTAACGGGGTAAGATGGGAGGTGTGGGGAGAAAAAGAGAAAAGGGAATAAAATAGAATTTTGTTCCCCCCAAATTCCCATGAAAATTCCAATTTTGCAGCCTGGTAATGTTGCAATTTTTTGCTTGCCTGTATGGCATTCTGCCTTCGAACCAGGCTTGCCTAGAATGGATGATTGTCATTATTGGCAAATCCTTGGCATTATTTCCAACGTCTCTGATGTGCCAGTGAGTATTTGCAAATTGCTGGCATATTTTGGAGGAGGGTATTGGGACTATTCTGACATTACGCTTGTGTTCACTGAATATGTCGATTACATGTGGTATGACTGAAAAGTACTAGTCACAAAATGCAGAACTAAACTTGGAGTGGTCCTAGCCAATCTCTTCACATTAATTCAGTAAAGCCCTGTTGAAATATGAATGTGCAGTTTAATTTAATTTAAGTATAATTTAATTTAAGTATAGACTGTTTTACTGATATTGCTTATGTTTGTTTTAGCTGCATTGAACCTCGGTGATTGAAAGCATTTCCCCATGTGTCAAGTACATGTTTCCATATATCAGCTAAGAAACTAAGCAGTTATTGAGCTTTTTTTTAAGCTAGTGGTGAGGCTATATTGACCACATGTAGAGTGATCTGAATCAGTACAATTAGTTGAAATGTGAATTCAGGATGAAGGCATTACCTCTTTGCTAGTAAGATTGATGTTTATTATCAGCACACTACTAGGAATCGCTGAACGTATGGCTGTTATTTATCACACAGTTTAACCTTGCACAATATTCCTTCTTCTCACCCACTTTTCTTTTCCCCAACCTAGTCTTTGGCCAACATAGACGAAGTTGTGAACAAGATCAGACTAAAGATAAGGTGAGTGGAATACCTTGTTAACCTCACTTTGCTGATGGTGAGGATTCTACAGTACTACATTACCATTCACTCACATGTGTCAGCTGCCTCCTCCTTTTAAATGTGTTAATGAAAGTGAAAGATTTCCTCCCATTAATTAAGCATAGTTGAAGAGGAAGGTTTTCGGGTGGGACTTAAAAGGGGAGAGAGGGGGCAAGGCGGAGGGATTGAGGATTTCAGGGTGTAGTGTCTGAGACCATGACTTCCGATGGTGGAGCAGAGGATGTGAGGGACAAGCAGGAGGCTGTTGCCAGTTGAGGGGTGGCGCGGGTTGTTGGTTTGGCGAGTGAGGAGGTCGGAGAGATAGGGAGGTGCCAGAGAGTGAAGGGATTTGAATACAAGTGTGAGGATCTTGAAGTCGATTCGTTCGATGATGGGGAGCCAGTGGAGCCTGACCAGAACTGGTGAGATGTGACAAATAATCACAAGCAGTAATTTGTTTTGGTAAAATATTTCTCAGGCAAATTATTAAATTGACTCTCTGATGAGGTTTAAATCCAACTCCAGGGAAGTTCAGTAATCGGTAATTTTTGCAGTGGTAGTGCTACAGAAATATCTGTCTGGTATTAAATGTTTAAATTTAATGGAGCATGTTTAATGTGTGTGGGTGGGCGGGGGGGGTTTGGAAGTGTTGAGTGGATCCAAGATATTTGCAACAGAAATGCAAGGCATGTAATTGGAGTGGAGACTTAAAAAGAGGATGTTTGCCCACCTTCTTGGATCAGAGAAGCGTGGTGCAGTAGAGACAAAATATTTTTTGGGGGGTGAAAATTGGCGATTAGGGAGTAAATTACAATAATTGGATTTAATAAATGTGGAAGCATCTCAAAGAGCTTCACAGGGAATTTCAGTCGAGTGTCTTGACTGTATTTTGCGTTGAGTGGCTGTATTTAAAGGTAAAAGGTAAATGTGGCAGTCATTTGTACATAATAAGGTACTACATACAGCTGCGAAGTAAATAACCAATTTAGTTGGAGGATTCTTGGCCCAGGCATCAAAAACATGCACTTGTATAGCGTCTTTTTCACAGGATAGCAGCTCGCAGTGCTGAAACGCCCTTTGAACAAACCTGAGTTTCTTTTATGAAGGCGGGAAAGCTGGTGTAGTCGTTAAAGGGTTAATGGCATTAGGCGCTGGACTGGAGTGAAAGAGAACCTTTGTAACTCTGGAATTGCGAGCCTGACGGGGGGAGACTTGCTGTAGGTGCCCAGTAGGGTGCACTGTGCTTACACTTTAGGAAAGTTTGCTTTCTTCGGCACGGATAGCTGCAGTCTACCCGGCAGCAAGCAGCCAGTGGACCGTAGCTGTTTACAGTGCCTACTTTGCGGGGAATTCTACATTGCACCAAGACAGCCTGTGAATGGGCTGCGCTGTGGAGCCAGCATGTCGCAGATTAATTTTACGTTAGTTATGAACGCCCTGCGACTGTTTGCCCACAAATGTTCTGCTTGCAGAAGAGGTGATTGTGATGGTGAAAACGTGTCCCATTATAGCATTAACTCGTAGAAACCCAAGCCGTGTCCCAACGAATTTCTGCGAAAGAGTTGATGGTCGGTCTCAGAACAGTATGCTGACTGTGCACAAAATCGCCCACAAAATACTCAGTCAGTTTACTTCACAGTATATTCTGCGAGGCGCTTTGAGAAGGCTAGAAGACGTGATAACAAATGCAAAGATTATTATCAATAGAATTCTGACCTAAAATGGGTTTATTATGTATTAATTAGTAGCGTCTCACTAGCTGTTTAGAATGGTGTGACTTCACTAGTTTTCTGCCAGACTCATCGAAGATGTTCATTAACATTTTCAACCAGACCAAAATCCTGCAAGTGCTGTATAATTTTGGTTGCGCAATCTGACCGTGTTTCATAGTGGCCTAAAGCTCGCATTTTGGCATAGTTACCAACCCGAGTGGCCTGGCTTTGTGGGCATGACAACAAAGAGATATTTAAAGAGATTTACGTTAATACTGTTAGTAATGGCCTTAAGGTTAAGACCATGAGACATTCTGGGTTATAAGGATATCACATGCGCACTTGCTGTTTGGGTCAGTGAGATGTGCTTGAAAAATGCGCTGGTTATGTTTGTGCCATATTGTCGGTGTTTGGCTCGAAAGGTTTGTAAACGAGGCCAATTTCTTTCCGCACCCCAAATACCCACCACATGTGCCAAATTCCCTAATTCCCTGCTGAAGTAATTAATACTTGGGTATCCGTATGCCATGAAATAGGAGCTCGGAACGAGAAACTGGGGCACGAGTTGAAGAAAGCAGATGTTGGTTTTCCAGTGATGAAGTTACAAAAGAGTTCAGAAATTGCTTTCAGAGCCAACGCTATCAAATGATAGGTCCAGAGAACAAACATTTACCCAAGAGTGTGGATATGTTCAGTACAGTCGACATTTTGAACCACCTTATTCCCCCTCACCTCCATCTGTTTAATGAAAATTATCTTAGAGATATATCGTCTTCTTTTGGACTTTCAAGTGTTTTTCTTCATAACCTTGGATCAAATAGCAGCAGTAGCAAATAGACCTTATGTGAGTTGGCGAGTTGCTTTCGGTACGTAAATCTTCCTGAGCAGACCTGCGAGCTGTTCTGTATGTTCATTTGGAAACACTCCCAAAAGTGTAATTGCAACCACATTGAAACTGTTGGGTTGTAAACAACTTAGACACTGAGCACAATAAAAAAAATTAAAAATTAATTTTGTCAGATTATAGTTTTTTTTCAAACTGTCGAGCCAACCCTGATTTTGTTTATTTTATAACTTTAGCAGGAAAGTTCAAGATAGACTTGCTCAAGCAGCATATCCTGTATCCATGGACACATGCATTTGAGCGTACAGTATTGCGTTTCAGTGCTATGATAATCTTTGCTAAGATGCTTATGTTTTCTTCATGCTATAATCTTTCGATATAATTGTTTTAAGATTGTTTGCCACAATTTTGTTTGGGGGCAGTGGGTTGTACAAACAGGTTAGCAAACTGTACTTTCAACTTCGGCATCTGGCTTCCAGACTGCTCGAATTCAGACCGATAGAATGAAACGCTCTCTCCCTCCCTCCTCTCTCCCTCTTCATCAAGGGGACATAGATGTAGCCAGTAGCAGATCTAAAAAGAGTTTACAAGGAATTTCTTTACACAGAGAGCGACGAGAATGTGGAACTCGCTGCTGGAACCTGCGGTTGAAGCAGAAAGCATTAGGGCCTTAAAGAAGAAACTCGATGCATATGTGAGAGAGAAGGGAATAGAGGAGGATAGGAGGGGTGGAGGCTCATGTGGAGAATAAACACCGGCACGGACTAATGGGGCTGAATGGCCTGTTCTCGTACTGTACAGTCAGTGTAATTCTATGTAAAGTCCTTTCTGTGCACCAGAACAGGATTTGGAAAGTCTCAGATCTGTCCTTCCACCTCTTGTTCTATCCTTATTGTTCTCTTATTGTTTAAATATCGAGCAGGAGTGCATAGCCCCCTCCCTTACCTCCTTCAAGACCCTCCTCTTCGACCATGCCTTCGGTCACCCTCCTACCCCTACTCTCCCTGCCCTCCACCCTCCTGATCCCAATCACCAGCTCGGGTGCGGATTCCTGACTGTCGAGCTCCTGACAGTCCTGAGGTCCTCCTGATGTGAAAGGCGCTTTACAAATGTAATTAGCTGCTGTTGTGGTGGTGATGGTGGTGGTTGAAAACAACTGAGGATAGAACAAGAGGCGGAAAGACAGATTTGAGACTTTCCGAACCTCTTAATACATTCGGCATCAAATAAAACCGCGACTATTCGTGGGGTGTTGGTGTACGTGGGAATCTCTCGATGTCATTCCCAGCACGGATGGGTGAGGTAATACAGTGCTTTCAGGAGAGTGAAAGGCTCCTAATTGAGCTCGTATATCAGTGAAAGAACTCTTGGAACTGTCACCCAGGTGTGACATTTCATATTTATTGACCTGCTACNTTTTTTTTGGAAAATTGCACACTGGAGCCTACTGTTGAGCGTTATTTTTTCATTTGTGATTTAACTCTTTGCCAGCTTTTTAGTGTGTGTCTTTTTTTCCCTTGCCCTTTCTCCCTTTACCCCTTTGGCTTTCTCTCCCTCCCCACCCACCCCCACTCCCAGAGGTAGGGAGGCTGTTGTCAGTGCAGCTGTGTAACTACTGTAAAGAGGTACAAACTGGTTCTCTACTCCCATCTACTTTTTTTGCTATCCTTGTGTTGTGTATTGCAACCTTACTGTTACAGAGTTTTCTTGGTCTTTAAGCCATGTCCTGCTGGTCAGTTGCTGTGTGGGTTACACTAATGTAATTGATCGCCGAACGGATCGATTTCAAGATCCTCACGTGCATTTTCAAATCCCTTCATTCCATGGGCATCTCCCTACCTCTCCGACCTGCTTATCCCCCAATCCACTTACCTGCTGCTCTGCTCGACTGGCTCCGGCCTTCTGCATGTCCCCCGTGCTTTCAGCCACTACGCCCCGAAACTCTGGAAGACTCTTCCTCTATCTTTTTGCCTCGCCCCTTCTTTCTCCATCTTCAGGTTGTGCCTGAAGACCTTCCTACTCAACCGTGCCTACAGTCACCTCCCCCTCCCCCCAGCTTGGCATCCTGCTCTGCCACTATCAAGCACTCTGGGATGCGACTCTGTGTGAGGGGGGCTGTGTAAATGCAAGTTGTTGTTGATGTGAACTATTATTGTATTGGTGTATTTGATCTTTATGTGTGCAACATGGACAAATACAAAGGAGTGAGATTATCTGACTCACAAACTGACCTGGGTTTGGCAGCCTCGGGGTGGGTGCTGTAGGGAAAGTTGACCGAAAGCTTGGTCAAAGAGATGCATTTTGAGATGTGCCTTAAAAGAGGGGAGGGAGGAGGAAAAGGTGAAAAGGTTCAATAGGTTTCTATTTGTGCCCATGAGCAGCGTACTTCATGTTTTTGTGCTTATGTTTTGTTTATTAACAGGCGATTGGATGATGATATTCGGACGGTCGTGAGAGGAGAAACCAATGTAGGACAAGACGGACGACAGGTATGGAATTGATCAGTCTTGACCTCAAACTCAGTACAATGCTTGACGTATGTGCAAATAACGGAAAGACAGCATTATAATTAATTTAAACGCATTATGATTAATTTAAGCTCTCCAAGTCACTACCTATTTGAAGAACGCTATATAAATGGGGTTTCTGCCAGTGTCCTGGCCAGCAATGCCTTCGATACAATTGGTTAGTCACTTCATAGCTGTTTGTGGGACATTGCTGTGCGCAAATGGGTTGCTGGGTGCTGCATTCACCCACAAATCCACAGTCACTAAATTTCACAGTCAAATCCTGCGAAGCACTTTGTGACGTTTCGACCATCTGATAAGGCGCCAGATCAAATATACGAGGACAACGACGATGAAATAGGAACGTGTTTGTCAGCCAGGATGAGCAATGTCGCACGCCATTACTGGGCTTTTGTATTTCTTTATTTGAAAAAAAACTTTTATTTTAAAGGAAATGAATACCTTCCCACAGAGCCACAACAGAATAATTCACACTGAAGTGGCTGTGACAGCTGCTGCAGTGGAAATTATTCCGACAGTGGCTCCACTAGAGTTTCAGAGCAGACACTGCCAGGAACTGGCAACCCCCCAGCAAGGGGCACCACTCTCAGCCCCTTGCCTCCCTCCCAAAGTCAATTTTTACTCCCAGAAACTCTGGGCATGTTGTACCTCGGATGTCACTGTCGTGAGTCTTGGGCACCTTTCCATAGGCAATGCCAGTCCCGATAGCTTGTGCTATCCCGAGCAGTGAGTGTAAGTTGTGCAGGAAACCTGGACTGAGGGAAAACAAACGTAGAATAGATCAGTTTACCAGATTCTCTTCACACATGTTACTGCTTCCAGATGTCGGGTTCGCAAGTACAAAGTGTCCATTGTTGCATTCCCTCCGAGGTGACCATGTTATGAAGGCTTTACAGTACAGTCACAGAACTCCTGATATCAGGAACAGACTGTGATGTATTCCTTGCTCTTGGTTCCTCTTGCATCGGATACAGAAGCTCACCTATCTCGCTGTTGCTCCGGTACATGAACGGCCAAAGCGCAGGTCTGCCAATGACCTCGGCAGACGTTTTCTCTGGGTTTTGTTTTTTGGGGAGGGAGGAAACTAAAAAAAACTAATAAAGCTTTGGTAGGATTTTGCATTACATCTGGATTTTATGAATAGCATGTGGGTGTTGTTATGATTTTTTTGCTGTGCTACACAGTTTTTTTTTTTAAAAAAAGGAAGTTGAGAAACGTGTTCTCTTCCACACGTACTCTCTGTTTTTGTTCACTGCTCTTTGTTCTTTCTGTGACTGATAATGTGCCACGTACTGTCCCTGTTGAAACTCGAGCCAGGCAGGTCCCAGGGTTCTCCTGTTGCTGCCCTCGAGATGTCCACCAAGAGGTGCTACGCCGTGTGGGTTAACATCCCGCAGTGGACTCAACAAACCACGGGTGCTTTGAGGGTCTAAGATATTGAAAACACATTGTGGAAGTGTTTTGCGCTAGTTAATTTTTTTTTAATGCCCCAAAATAGATTTACAAGGATGCACATGCTTCAATTTAGCATTGCAGGTGGCAAAGCGGGAATGTTAAGATTCTGCCCAAATAACAAACATCTTAAAAAAAAGATAACCGGAAAAGGCTGGAAACCTAAAATAAAGATTTAATAACTTAAAAAAAAATTCAATATATTGGGTTGAAACACGCCACCATATGCTCATAAACTGAGCGGCAAAATGTGAATAAAGAATCGCTTTTAATTTTTCTTCTGAGGGTGGTCTGCAAAGCTGTAGGGACTCAGAAACGTTTGTGAAGTAGAACGCTGGCAAAAGGCCAGGGAATGTTTTTTTTTGTAATCTGGGGATTATTGTATTCTTGGATATGCCTGAATTATAGACTGCAGAGGAACGATTGGTTTGTCAGGGAGATTCTAAACTATGAAAGCGTGATAGACGTTTACACAACTAAAGAGACGATTCCGGAGAGGCAAATGGGAAACGCTCTGTGGGGGCAGTTGGTTCATTATTGAAACGTTTCTCCCATTGATTGATCTTCCTTTTTGAAAGCCGAGTGCTCCGATCAGAGGTTTCCTGCGACAAGCAGAGCACAGATTGCTTTCTGTAGAGGCTTCAAGCAGCTTCCCTACACAATAAGGAGTGTATTGGAACTCGACCCTCTCGCGTTATGAAGGGAGCCTCATGGGACTCTTTCATTGACGAGTAGAAGATTGAGATGAGACATAAGGTTCTTTATGTGCAGGCCAAAAATCCTCCAGTTAAGTTGGTCATTCACATCCCGGCTGTGTGTGGGACATTGCTGTGTGAAAATTGGCTCACCTACAATCGCAGGATCGCTATGCTTCGTTGCAGTTATTGTGAAGCGCTTTGAGACATTTTGATGCAATCAGTTGCAATAACAAATCAAGGATTATTATTTTGTTAATACGGTTTACTGGAATGGATAAGGGATATATGGCAAGTAGAGCCGTTTGACCTAAACTTTGAATGGAAACCGACTGGGGGGGGAAAAAAGTGTAACATTCTCAAACTGCCAGCAAGACTTGAGATTGCAAAGAATTCCCCTCTCCCACAGAGAATATATGCGTTCGGCTCCCAGTATCAAGCAGTCAATGCCAAGCTGATTAGCACCCTTGCTGAAAGAACTGAAGGAAGATCTGATTATGAACAGGATTGATGACTTTTACACACTCAGTGAAATACAATAAAACATCGATACTCTGCCGAACATCCTGGGACTCCAGGCAGAGTGCAGGGTTTTGGGCCAAAAAGCATTTAAGAATTAAGAATTTTGGGCAGCTTGCAGTGACCCGCGGGGATAAGTTATTAAGTATTAAAGAGAGTGTTGAAACCGAAATAAAGAATTAATGCATAGTTCAGACAGACAGACTGATTCCTTTCAATTTACGTAACGCCGGAGAAAGTCCCAGTGGTTATTGTCATCTGAATTGGAGTGTTGATTTTCACTGTTTTACTTATTGCATTTTACCGTGCATTTGAACTGTAATCAAGAAACAGCAAATAACATTTGAATTTTTTTTTATATTTCTAAAAAAAAAGCATGTTTTCAGGTTTGCTTTCCCCACACAAGACACTCTCACTATTGGGAGAGCCTTTTACGAAGCAAATCATTTTTACCTGTAACATCCTTTTATTGAAAACTACTAATAATATAATAATAATCGTTGCATTTGATACAGCGCCTTATCACATCTTCGAGACGTCTCAAAGCGTTTCACAGAATATACCGTAAAGTGAATTGACTGTATATTTTGTGGGCGAAACACAGCAACCATTTGCGCACAGCAGTGTCCCACAAACAGTTATGGATTGAGCAACCAATTTTTTTTAATCACTTGTTGAGTGAAAGCCGGAGCTACATTTCTTGCTTCTGTAGTATTTATTCTGTCAACCTTTTTTTGTTTGTTTTGTGCTGTATTTTTGGTGTTGCTTCTAAGAAGAACTTGTTTAATATCCCTTTTCTGTTTTGCGGTTGTTTGACCCAATTATTCATCAGCGGAGATCCTTTCTATTATGGCTTAAAGTGCCTGTTTTTTGATTAAAACAAGATCCGAAATAATACACCTCCCTGGGTGTAACGTAATCGCTCTGAGACGCTACATACGTTCAAGTTAAGAAATAATAAATAATAATACCAATAATAAATTGGTCATTTTCAATCTACGACTGTTTGTGGGACATTGCTGTGCACAATTGGCTGCCGCGTTCGCCCACAAATATACAGTCAATTCACTTTACAGTGTGTTCTGTGAAGCGCTTTGGGACGTCCTCCCGACGTGAAAAGCACTATATCAAATGCAAGGATTATTATTATTAAGTTGTTGCCATTGTTGTTATGTAGTCTGCAGGTTTGAGGAGGTGTTGTAAAAGTTAAATTGGTGATTATTCCAAATTCATCCGTTACTTGAGCTCAACACATCTTTGGTGCGTACCTCCTGGGGTAGTTGTTTAGTTACAATATGGAAAGCAGCGATTCCCTTTGTATGCAAAAACAGTCACTTCGCTGGACGGTAATTTTTCTACAAATACTTGATGACCACACTGAACGGTAACTCTGTGAAGCACTCTGATGTGAATGGACCTGTATCAAGTGAAGGGATGGTTATTTTTATTCCAATGTCTCGGGAAGCATTTTCAGACTATTGGGGTGATTTGCACTCTTTTTTAAAAAAAATAGCAAAGTCTTTATTATTCAACAAAGGTAAACTGTCTTAAGGTCTGTGGGCTGAAATTCTGGTCGGCAATAAAGGCAGAGAATAATGCAAAATATTGGGTTGGGGTGAGTGGGAGAAAGGAAAAAGAGAGGCAATGGGGAAAGTAAGTTATGAGCCACTAGGTCTAAATTTGACAGACTGGAACCGTAAACTATTAATGACATTTTCTTTGAAGTTGAGGCATGACTGACTCGGAAACCTCCGAGAGTAACGTCCACCTTTTTGAGTTTGGTCTATCGCAGATAGTGTTTTTGTTAGGAATAAGAACCAGATGGTGATGGGTTTGCATGCAGAATGTTTGCTGTTAATGCCATTACTGTGGAATGGAGATGTGGAAATTACAGGTTAAAGGTGAAGTGAAGTTCAGCTAGTTCCTCAGGAAACTCTCAGGTGGACAAATTCACATCGCAGTGATTATTAGGAAGTGAAATGCAACATTTAAAACTTCTCTCTTTATTTGTTTTACCTTGTTTTTGTAAAACACTCTTGGTGTTTGAGTCTGTTAATTCGTCCTTGTTGACCTCCATGTTATTCCAGTTTTATGGTGGGGGAAGGATACACGAGTTGCTATGTGAAGTGCGTACAATGCATACGCTAAAATTCTGCAATAAATCTGTGCAAAATTAGACTTGCCATCGATATGGAGAGATGACAAAGTGCGCAAATCCCTGTACAGAAGAGCATTGTGGCGATTCCCTGTAGATTTGCCATGCCGGAGAACAATAGAAGCTGATTTTTTGCAGGA